ATAGCTGCTTCACGGTCGCCCATTTTGGTTGAGTACGTGGAGAGATAACACGTGTTTTGTGTGGGAGTGCTGAGATTTGTGAGTGATCAACATCCCCGGGTGATCAACATCCCGGTCAGCTAGCTTACCAAGTCTCTGAACTCAGCTCGATAGATAAAGCTCGAGTAGAATAATCGCGTGTCGTCCTCTAGCGCAATTACCGCTGTCGCGTGGTGATCCTAGTATCTATTGAGCTTGTAAGATGGCTGTATGTGGTTCGTCGTCTATATGCTTCTCCGTCCTTCATGACCTGGGTACATTCTTGCGATTCCGGGTTGTTTGGTTGGATGGTGCCTCCGCAAGTGACTTACAGGATCACGCTGGAAGGTTAGCTGTCCGTAGAAGCTTCAGAAGGCGCGCGTTGTGGGGCATCGAGTCAACGCGTTATCCAATCAGCAGTGAGGTGAAGCAGCTGACAAAGGCGCTAGTGGCATGACCCCTGCGAATCTGGGGTAGCTTCGAGGCGGCTGTGCAAGCCGCAGTAAGAGTCTGGCGCTTGCTAACAAGTCCATATTGATTGTTGATACCCCTCTTCACTTCTTCTCGAGCCACAACTTTTGCCATCCGACTTTGTAATCAACAACAACAGCAGTTTATCAACATGTCTTGCCCCGTGATTGGAACCACCAATGATGTCCTCCCACCAAACCATCCTTCTATCGATCTCGCAAAGGATGGCCAGGTTGTACGTACTCGAAAGTACCTTCCTTGTGTTCGAACCAGACTGACATGACGATAGTGCCCTGTAGTAGGAGCCACAACCGACCACCACCACAACCTACACTCGCACCCTCCCATCCCCACCCAAGGCAACGAGGCTACATCATGCCCCGCTCTCAAGAACACTGTCAAGGAGACCAAGGCCCAGGAGATGGATGATGCCCTCTGCCCTGTTGTAGGCACTGCTACCACTGTTCTTCCTCCCGACCACCCAGACATGCTTAAGGCGAGTGAGGGCGACGTATGCCCTGTCACCAAGGCAACAGTTGGACACCATAAGAACAAGGTGGTTACACACCCAAGCGTAGACGGAGCAGCAGACGGTGCTGTATGCCCAGTCACTGGCCAAAAGCAACTTGCATAAGGGTGATATTGATTGAAGGATGGGTGGCGTGCGTATATATACCCAAACGAATATAGTGGGTCAACAACCCGACATTGGATCGGATATGGGCCTCTATGCATGTCTTAACAGCTTTTCTCTTTGTAACAGCGTAACCATGTTACAGCAGTTATGCCTCGGAGATGCAGTGCAACATTGAAAATTTGGGGGTCATAATAGCATAGTTGGTATCTGCTATATGCTACGGACGTCTCCTTCTTTCATTTTTCGTCAACGGCATCATCATGTGTCTCCGTATTCTGTTTCTTGTACTCTATTTGATCCGTCTGTCCCGGACAGGCAACATCTGTTACTATCCCAATGGCGACACAAGCACAGACGTTCCGTGCGACCCTGACGCGCCCATCACACCATGTTGCGAATCACGTTCTGCCTGCCTTACAAGTGGACTTTGCGCTTTAGAAACAAGTAGGAACTGTGAAGTCATGTCAAACTCCAACTCAAAATACCAACCATCTGTCGCATCCCTCTTGTGGCTAGAGAGTAGCCAGATATGCGTACGCCCCCTGATAACAGTGCTTTTACAAATCGACAGCTTAAGATATATGCCTGTACTCTTATGTTGTAATCTAGACGTTCATGAAGATGGAAGTAAGTAACTGGACGGGATGAAGAGAACATCAGAGGCTAATACGTGTGAGATTATAGCGACCAGGTCCGCCTATCTTTGCAACCTAATTTTTGGATTGAATAGTCGCTGCAGAATAAAGCTTTGCGAAGGGGCGTTAGTACTGAGACCAAATGACAAGATGGCGCAAGATTTGCATGTCGAGCTACTCAACCGGCTAGACGGCTTGAGGAAAATTGGCTTGTCTATGCCGAGCTACTTAGTAAATAAGGTCTCTCGGCTTGGAGAGCTCAAATGTTCGTAAGAAATGGTCACAGAGGGCTAGGGGCGGCTCGGAAAGGCGGGGCTGTAAGACTGAGCCTTGAAATGATAGCCAGGGAATATTGGTGAATTGTACTACGGGAAAGGGCCAGATTCTTCTTTCCATAGCTGTAGACACACCGATCGTCTAAACATTAAGGAGAACGAGCTCGATACGGCAATGGTGAGCGCGACGGTTTCCTCCGAGATCGCCCTGTGTTATCGCCTTCAGAATCTGAATGTCTTCGCTCGCGCCTTCGATGTCGATCGCGTTTGTCTCTAGAATCCTCGCTTCGGTCTCGAGTTCGTTCCGATCGATGGCGACGCTCTCCGTCTTCCGAGTTGTCCCGTGGCTTTGACTTGCGATGTCGACGGTCGTCATGCGGGCTTTTGTCGCGACTTCTACTCCTTCGCCGTGACCGCTTATCACGCTCATCGTCTTCCCCTGCATCCTTGATCCGTCTTCTGTCCTTGTCATGGTCCCGATCTCTCGACCTGTCTCTCCGGCTATGCCTGTCCTTGCGCTTTGCCCTCTCCTTTTCTTTACGCTTTTGCTTCTTCAGCTTCTTGAGTGCATCGTCTACTTTCTCTTGCTGGCGCTTGATCATAGAGTCACGCATAGGGTCGTCTTCGTCCAGCTTCTCCAACAGGCGCCCTAATTCGATCTCTTCCGGTAGCAGTGGTCGGTCGTCGTCCGAGTCGCTTTCGCTCTCTGTCTTTCTGCGCTTCCTTCTGCCACCATCAGACTCATGGCCAGGGTCGAGGTCGAGCTCTCCCATAGTGTTGTCCCTCATGTCTTCGTCGTCCTTGGGTTTGTATCGCGCATGATCTACCCTGATGATGCGATCCATAATACTCGCTCCACCTAGATTGTCCACGGCCAAGTCGCAACTCCTCTGGTCTTCGTACTTGATCCATGCGAAACCTCGTGACTTTCCCGTCTCCTTGTCGCGCGCCAGCTTAATCCATACTGGCTCGCCGTACTGGGAGAAAATGGTGATGATGTCACCTTCTGAAAGTTCGAACGGTAGGCCGCCGATGTAGACAAAGGCCGTGTCCCGGTAGTCGGTATGCCATGAACCTTCGGGATTGATGCCTGCCTCGAGTTCGCGCTTATTGAGCTGCTGGATGGCGCGCACCGAGTTCATGGTGGGCGAGGTGTAGACGGAGCGGTGATGTGGGAGAGGTGAGGAAGGCGCGTTCGGAGGGTGGGTTTAGGGTAGGGTCGTAGTGCACTAGCGTTGAGTAGGTGGATCAGATGTGCATTGCGGGTGTTGGAAGAGGTCTCTCATGCGGCTGAAATGCTGAACATGGCGCTGAGGGTGTATTGGGAACTTGTTTTGGCGTGGGCGGAGGTAGCAGGAAGGTCCGCTGGAACTTTTGAAGCTCGGGCTTGGCCAGCAGCAGCATCCCTGCAGAAAAGGTACCAGCGAACAATGCGGCCAAACAAGCACACCGCAACCCCACTAGACATTCACTCGGGTGCCGCACTAGTCTTTCCGCCTCCGTCGCATATCTTGTATACAGCATCCACACATCATCGCTTAGTCGACAAAGCCTCGTGTCACCGGCGACGAAGCTCCGCACCACCTCCGCAATGGCGAGCGCGCGTCGGACCTCCAACTTCCCCACACGCGTCCCCGGAAGCCACGACCGCCCGGGGAGCAGAGACACGGACAAGGAGGAGATATGGAAGCCTATGCTGGATAACATTTCGAGTGGGAAGCGACTGCCAGAAAAGAGTCTACTCGTGCTGGGTGAGGGCCACAATAGGCAGAATAGGGGACACAGCTAATGCTCAACCCCAGGCGGAACTCCAGAAACACAGCGAGAGTTCCTCGAGTCGGTGTCCACAGACTCTGCAAACAACCGAAGACCGCCAGACCGAGGCAGGAAGCCGCCAATTGCGAACCAATTCGCCCTGGGCTACACGTACCAGGATGTGCTGGATACGGATCACGAGGGTGTGTAGCGTCGCTGGCTGTAGAACCAGGATTTGCTAACAAAGCCAGACACACTTGCTCGTCTTTCGCTCTACCTCCTTGCTAACCCCTCGCCCTCGTTCACCCCCCTTATCAAGCCCTACCTCAACCCACGAACCCTCCCGCACATGCTTATCGTCATACTCCTAGACTGGAATCACCCATGGCTGTGGATACGGCAACTTCGCGACTGGATCAGAGTACTGCGATCACTCATCGTCTCCCTCGATGATAACTCAAAGGTCGTCTTGGAAGAGAACATCCAAACACTGCAAGACAAGGGACGCAATTTGCCAGCTGAAGGCAGCAGCATGGAGAACGTAAAGATACCACTTGGGCCCGGAGAATGGGATGAGCCACTCGGCATACCGTTATGCGTAGTATGTCAGAATGCTGACAAGATCGAGACTCTTGAAAAGGAGAGGGGCTGGAAAGAGGAGGAGTTCGACTTCATACTACAGTACATGCGCACTATCCTTCTCAAGCACGGCTCAAGCTTGATTTACACCATGCCTACAGCACCGGGGTCCTTGCAAACACTTATCCACTCCACCTTGGGTATCAAGTCTCTGCTCAAACAAGAGCAGCTCAGACACAACGTAACGGACCGTGACCGAGTATTGGTCCCACCCAACTGGGATTCATGGGCCAAGATTCGTATTCTACGAGAAGGGTTTGATGTTGAAGGCATCAGCGAGAAATGGAGTGTTGACATTGATATACCCCAGCACATGCGCCCAACCAACGGCCAGGTATCTACACCCATCGAAGGAGAAGCACAGCCCAACGGCGAAGACACACAGGTTGCGGAAGAAGAGGAGGAGGGCCCCTCAGCGACATCAATCTATGAGGAAACGATCCGCAACCCAGAGTCAGATTACGCACTTTCCAGCTTATCGAAACAAGCCGACGGGCTCGAGGTGTCTAGCAAGGATCCACAGGCCTTCCTTGCTGATCAAGTCAACGTCCTTGAACATCTACGGCGGGAAGATGAGAATGAAGCTGCCATCAAAGCTGCGCGCAAGGAACAAGACCCTTCGGCTTCTAGAGCGTGGACCGAAGATGCATCAGGAGTTGTCGAAGAGCATATCGGACCTGTACAGTTCAACATGGGTGGTATTCAAGTCAATGCCGATGAGATGGTGAAGAGACTACAGGTACGTGGAGAATTCATGTGTACTCTCCGAATATTTGCTGACTTCAATCCAGGACCGGCAAGCCAACCGATTAGATGAGCCCGAGACACCACCCCCAAAGACACAGGATACCAACATCAACGACAACGAGAAGCTGAGGTCCTTCTTCTCAAGTTTGGTCAACAAGGCGCCTTCAAACAGTCCGAGGGGATCATAGAATAGATCTACTTTCAAATGAGCGCTTTCCAACTATTCTGCTACATGTACTACACACATGTTCATTCGACTTTCCGATAACAGAGGCTTTCTTACTGGTTCACGGTCGTCATTAGCATGGCTCTATACCCACAGTGTATTTCCGTACCCAATACAAGCTTTTCATTCAATGTATTCGCTTTGATATTATGCACTACACAAGTATTGTCACTGAGTCTGTCCCCGTCAGTTTCGTCATGCCTTGACAGTGAATGTTGTACAGCGTATAAAACATCAGCTCGACAACTCGATGTCTTCATGGCTGAAGACACGCATGAGATACTTCAAACCTCGATTACATGCCTACATCTACTCGTTCCTCATCTCCATGTATTTCTACTTTGTCTCTCTATTCAGCATTCTACTTGCACCACTATCATCATACAGCCAATACAACTTGACTAAAGATTCGATTGCCTTGTCGAACTCAACCCCATCTTTGCTTATCAAACCCCCCATCATGACAGGGAGACGGATCCGCTGGGCTGATTACCGCCGCCCCGATCGCATTACTGAGAACAATGTAGCTCAAGTACCCGAGGGGCACTTCAACTGGGGACAGTGGAGGCATATGGCTAATCTACAAGGAATGCAAGGATACTGGAACGAGAGGAGAGGGCAATGGGGCTGGAGGAATGGGTATCAGTGGGGCGATGCCAGGAGAGACTGGCGGTATCGCTGAGTGGAGGTTATAAGTCATGGAGTAAGCAAGTAATCGTGATATTTGCATACTAGCATGCTGCAATGTTGAATGATAAGATCCAAAACTCCATCTATTTCCCCAACAACCACTTTACACCATTCAACGTATCCTTGACAAACTTCTCGCTCTCCTCCAGCTCCGGATAGTTTGTCCAGAACATATGTCCATACCCAGCGTACAACTCAAATCTCGTCAGTATTCCATTCTCTCTCAGGATTCTATCGTAAAGCACCGCTTCGTCCCTCAACGGATCCAAGCCACCGACCTGGAAGAAGGCTTTTGCCACACCTTCATGCCCATCTGGGTGGTTGAATGGATCCCATAGAGGAGATTTAGGGTCAGGAGCATAAATCTCCTCAATCATACCCGGTGGAATACCTTTCAAAACTGGGTCGTTGGTACTTTGCGTCCGAGATAGGTAGAGTGGGACCAGGTTAGGCGGGACGTTTGTATCAGGGAGCAGTGCGGGGACGCATAGATACTGGCCGGTGATGGGTGGACTGAGCTTTTCGTCTCGAGCAAGGAGAGCGAGGACGGCGGCGATGTTACCTCCTGCTGATGCGCCGCCGACAAGGAGACCACGGGAGGGTGTTGCGTTAAGTGTGGCGCTGTTCTTCAGACTCCATAGTAGGGCGTCATAGCAGTCATGCACTCCAGTGGGAAACTTGTGCTCGGGTGCTAGACTAGAGTGAATGGGTAAGCATGTACTCTTCTTGTTGAAAAAGCAACGATAAGAGAAAGTAGAACAATCAAGAAGGGGCGTATATGTATCCTTACCGATACTCAACGTTCACACAAACAGCCCTCAGGTCTCTGGCAAACATCCTGCAATTCAGATCTTCGTCTGTCAAGTCACCCATACTCCAGCCTCCTTCATGGTACATCATGATGAGCGGACTACCATCTTCCGGCGGACCGGCAACGGATTGGTAGACTTTAACGCGGATGGATGCCCCATCTCGAGTAGGTACATCATGTAAACTTTCTTGGACAAGATCTGGGATGGGGCCGGGGATCGGGTAGAGATGGCGTAGGCGCAAGAGGTGGTCTGCACGAGACGCGCGGTGGGCGAAAAAGTCGTCGCCAGTGATGTCTACAGGGCGAGACTCGAAAGCCTGGGAATCTGATGAGATGACGAATAATGCTTGTTGTTTCTGTTTTGGAAGAAAGTCGTTGGAGACGGCGACAAACTATCTCAGGCAAGAAGTAGAACTAAACTACCTTTCTGTATACCTCGGATACCTCACCTGACTTGAGGACTTCATCGCGTGTAAGATGCGCCATGTTTGCTGCGGGATCCTATGAAGCTTGAACACAGCGAGATGGGAAGTGACAAATGCTCCGAAAGTATCGTGCTTGCTCTGTGAGGATGTTGACGGATGCACAACCCATAAGCTTACGTCATTCGAAAACAGCTCATTTCAGCTCACGGTACGGTATGAGGCACTCATTCATCACACCAACTGTACTATGAGGATCAACCTCCTACACATTGCTGTCGAGTAGTGAGATCATCCATGGATACATGAGTGAAGCTCAAGATTATGTTACAAGTCAAAAGAGGTATCAACATCTGGTATCTACAAGGCTACTTCGGAAGAACTGTAAATTACTCTCGTCACCATAAATTACTTGACTCGCCATGCCCGATCCTACTCAGCATCAACAAGCACAGTACTATCCTCAACCCTCTTCTCATTCTCTCCTCCTGCCAAACTAGGCTGTACGACCTGCCTGCCTTTCCAACCCTTCATAAGCTTGCCCAGCCTCTTCCTCAGGCCATATTGCATCCACAACGGCCAGCCCCTTATCCTTGGCAGCATGAACCAGGCAGTCTCGGGCAGAACAATATGCTGACTCTTGCCACTCAACACGGCCTTGACAATACTCTCGGCAACCGTCTCGGGATACAAGACGCCCCTGGAATCGAAGCCTTCGAACAGAGCGGTGCGTGTATAGTTTTGGGCCATGAGTACAGTCCTTATCTTAGGTGCGTTGTAGCGAGCAGTAAGTTCGGCGGAGAGACCTTCGTGGAAGGACAGTGCAGCGGCCTTGGACGCGGCGTAGTCGACCATGGAGGGGGCAGCGAGGTAGCCGGCGACAGAGGCGACGGTGACGATCATGCCGTGGCTGTTGGCAATCATGCTAGGAAGGAACTGCTGGGCGAGGTAGTAGTGGCTGAAAGTGTTGACCTTGAAGGTCAGGTTGATGTCCTTTTCGGTCGACTCGAGGATGGTCTTGCCGCGTGCGACACCTGCATTGTTGATGAGGACCGTGGGGTTTCCCAGTGTGGAGCGGATTGAGGAAGCTGCGTCGGCGATGGCGTCGGGGGAGCTGAGGTCGCATTTGAAGAAGCGGACGGACGGTGGTGCTGGCGGGTGTGAGCATCTCTTTGATGTGTCTAGCAGCCTCAAGAAGCAGAAACATACCTTCATACGTCAAGTCCTGAACGTCGAGGACTGCAACCTTGATTCCCTTCTCGGCCAGTAACTGTACTACGATCTTGCCAATACCATCACTGCCTCCCGTCACAACGACAACCTCACGACTCCACACATATTCGTCTTTGGTCCAGTTGTTGGTCACTCCGCTGTTTAGCCACGCGTTGACGGTACTGAGCGCACCCAGGCCAAGCAGTGTCTTCAAGCCCTTGAACACTGAGGCATGGTCTTGAGCGAGGAGGTTGCCTTGCTGTGTGTAGCGCGCGAGGAGGACGAGGGGAAGCGTGAGGGCGGGATTGAAGGCCGTGTATCTGATGAGGCGACTGATGGTATCGCCCGTCACGCCTATGTATCGCGTCAGTAGAGCGCGCCCATTGACAAAGCTTTGTGCTGTGACCCTTGAGAATGAGCGGCACCGGCTATAGGCACTTACCTTCACGCGCAAGGGTCCAATCGCTTCGAATGGGCATGGCGACAACAACAAAGATTGTTTGGTGCCTGGAGTAGTAGTGACGGTAGCGCGTGTAAACTGCGACTAGCAGACAGATACACTTCACATGTCGCGCGCCGGCTCCCTTTAAACGGTCCGTCTACGATGCTCCTTCTCCGTCTTGGTGCTGTGCCACCCGCCAGGTGGAGCGGGGTCAGCCAAAACTAGGCTAAAGCGTTCCTGATGGCGCGAACAGCCGAGGAACTGGCCCTGCATATCGTGATACCGGTGTCGCAAGGCCCAAGTGATCATCGCAAAAGGGATAAGGACACATGTGTGCAATAACCATTATTATTTGCAGCCTCTTAGCTGTCGTGACTAAATATACAATCGTAATATATACGTTCCAAGTAATACTGTATCCAAATCACTGTCGCTGCCCAAACATAGGAAACATCGTCAAGTAGCTAAATGATCAACTCTCCCATCCTGAACGCCAAATACAAAATCCTCCCACGCTACACGAACAATACAAAAAACAAAAACGTGGACAGTTCAATCACTCCTTCATCTAGAACATGTTCTTTCCACCTTGCTCGTAGTCCATGATGGTACTCTCAGGAGGCGCGACGCTCGTTACCCGGCTGATGCGACTTGATCGTGAGTCGGGACGATTGATCGACATGGCTCCACTCATGACCCTGACTACCTTTTTACTCCTAGTTCCTGTCACTAGCACTTGCGCTGGACAAACCACAATCTCGTCCTCGCCCTCGCCGAAATCGTCGCCCTTCTTGACAACTAGTGGGAATAGTACGACCTTGACTACTGCACCACGGGCTTCGAGCTCGTCGTTGGACGTTGTTTCGCCTGACCGTTCGTTCATGAGAGAGGCGTTGAATGTGACCTTGGCCACAAGGTCGCCCTTGGTATCGTACTCAGGCTGTAGCGGCGGCAGCATGATGTATTCCGCGCGTTGGGTCCGCATTTCGATTGATAGTTCGACTGCCAAGCGCATGACGTTGCGCAGTGATTCCTGAATCTGCTTCTGCAGATGCGATGGTGGCGGAAGCAGTGTCGAAAGCGTGCTGTAGATTTCGTGTACCACGGCTTCTGTGTCTTGGGCGCGCTGCTGCATGAAAGGCTCTCTCCTTGCAAGAAGGGTAAGTGTGATAGCTCGCCATTGTGCCACGGCGCGAGGTGGGCCGACTTCCGACAACGTCTTCTCCAACGCCTTGAGTTTCTGGCGCTGTTCCCTGTCCATACCGAAAAGGTACCTAGTAAAGACGTACTCCCAAATCATAGTCATGACCACTGACATGAAGACATCTCGACGCCTGACGCGGTCCGCCAGAAGTGCGTCGACATCTGAGCCATCGAGAATGGCATTGTCCAGCCTAGTGTCAATCTTTTGGCGCGTTGAAGCGTCCAGTCGAGTATCGGCTGCGATCTCGGACGAAAGGCGACACGCACGAGTATCCGAGAACTTGGAGAATCGGAGTACCCATTGCTGGACATGTTGACAGAGTTGTTGGCAGGCGCTGTCAAAGTAGTCCTCATCGCGGACAGTGAGGAAGCTTTCGCTTGGCTTCTTGGAAGCTAGGATCTGCTTCTGGAGGTTCTTGATCTGTTCGCGCGCGGTTGCGAGTTCTCCAGTTAAGCGGTCAATCTCGGCGTTGCGTTCATCCAGTGCTTCGCCAACTTCGTCACGAACGGCATCTGCCAAACCTCGCTGCATCTGGGTATGCTGGCGGCGAAGTTCTTCCAAATCTCGTTGCGATGTTTGCCATTGTTGTTGCATGGCCTGGCCTTCTGACTGAAGTTGTGCGTACTGACTGCGAAGGCTCTCCAGCTCTCGCTGCGATGATTGCCATTGCTCATGCACCATTTGTCCCTCGGACTGAAGTTGCCCATACCGTTCATTCGCATCGTTAGTCAGGTTGCGATTGGCATCTGTTAGTGCATTGTTGAGTTGATTCAGGCGTGCAATCTCTTCTTGTAGCCGCTGAAGTGTATCCTTGAGTTGCGCGATGTCAATATCCCTTTGGTGAATCTGGCGGTCACGTGCTTCCACTTCCTCGGCTACAAGCTGTTCGTCAATCTGTCGCTGACTTTGCGCAGCCTGTAAGGCCTCTTCAGCCTTGGCCTTAGCATCCTCGACAGCTTGGTTTTGCGCGGCTAATTGGTCGAGTTGGGTCTGCAGATCCATGATTTGCATGCTTTGACGTTTGCGCACGCTTGGTGGTCGTGAGGGCGAGCTAGGGGACCTTTGGGCTTCACCCCATGCTTCCTGTAAATTACAGTCAGTAACAGGAAACGAGCTTTACAACAACATCAAACTACTTACAAAGGTTTCAGCCATACTGGTCCGGCGACCTCTACCTGTACCCCGGACTGGGTCGTAAACCGGTGGGGCGGCGATACCTGCGATGGCTGCTGCTCCTGCCGCGAGCGCCGTGCTTGAGAGATTAGGTTGCACGCTCTTAGCGTCTTGCGCACTGGCCGCGCCAAGCCTCGAGGCTGATCTCAGGTCACCTGACGTTTGCCGGTCCACTCTTCGCAACGAACGCTCCGAATGGTTGCTCAAAGAGCTCATAGGCCGCTCTTGGTCGGGAGACCTCAGTCTTGCGATATTACTCAGAGAGCGTTGACTTTGAACACTAGGTGACCGCTGCTCACCAATGTGCTGCTTCAACGGGTCTGCGCTTGGGGATGATCGTGGCATACGGCGCGCGGGACTGAGGGCCATGGTTCGATCGATGCCTTCGTTGACTTGTTGCCATGGCGAGTCTCTTCCGCCTACATTTTCGACTGTGGATTGCACACTCCGGCGACCTGTAGGTGTTGGTGTGCTAGGCGGAGGTGATCTTAGACGATCAGAAAGTTGCCTGAGACTCTCAGTGCGACGAGCTGACTTCAGTCCTCGATCAGATACACCCACATCGGCTGCTGACCGTGACTTCTTTTTGGTGGTAGTGTCATCTGGACTGACTTCTGTAATAGATTCAAGCTGCTTGGTGCCTGGAGTGCTAGTACGTTCGGGCTTTGCGATAGTCGATGAAAGGGTCTCGCTCTTCTTCTCATTCGGATCTCCAAACAAGGACTGGTATGGCTCCTTCTGTGTGAGTTCCTTAGTAGGCGATGCCCGGCCTTGGTGCGATTCGACGCGCGGTTTCTTGCCTGCCCGCGACGATCCACTGACATCTTTTGACGGAGTTTCAACGACCATGTGGGTATCATGAGCAGGCGTTTGCGGTGCTGCCGCTGGTGAAGTGCCATATGCGCGCGTAGATGGCGAAGAATCGAAAAGATGGGAGGATCGCTCCTTCGTGGCGTACTCGTCGCTTGTGGTGGGCGTGCCTAGAGTCATTGGGTGCGTTGGCAAAGCCGGGCTGTCCGTATCATGATCAGTTGCGATTGAACGTTTTGGTGCGCTCAGAGGAGTTTTCGGTTCCTTCGAACGCCTCAGTTTACGTGGTGCCGTTTCGATAGGCTGCTCCGGCTGAGCCTTGGTGGTGGCTTGGTCGACCTTGTCTTGAACTCCGGCAAAGGACCACGATGGCTCATCGGCTGGTCCTACACCACGGGTTGACGATTGGGCGTTGCCTGTACTAGACACACGCTCATTGGAGTGCTTTTCAAGATGTGCGAGCTCTGGCACGACAAAGCGCGACGGTGATGCTGACCTCTCACTGGTAAATTGAGGCTCTTGAGTGGACTTCAATGTGTGTAGGCGCTTTTCCTCGGGTCGCTCGTCGTCGAAAGATACAGGATGTGTTCTGCGTTTGTGAACTTCACGATCGGCAGTTCGTGCCTCAGCTGGTAGTGCGTCTTTCATCCTGGTCGTAGACTCCTCATCAACCTTTTCTTCAACATTCCTGCTCTTTTTGCCCTTCTTTTTTGGCGATGGGGCCCATGCGTTCATATCCCTCTCTTTCTCCAACTCCTGCTTGTGTGTTTCCTCCTTCGACTGCTTCAAGATTTCCTGTGACACCACCTGGGGAAATGGGTACTCCCTCGGCTCTTCGGCGGTCAGCGAGCGGGGCTCCTGATCGAATGTCACAGGTAGGATCGGGCTGTCCTCCTTGCCTGCAGGTTGCTCTTCTGTGACTGTCTTCTTCGATTTCGCCCTCTTATCTCGCCTACTTGAGTGTACCTCGTCGAATTCAGTAGGTGTGGCTGATACGTTTGTTGCTTGTGTTGGTACGTCCGGAAGGACAGCAGTATTGGTCGACGCGTGAGGCATGGACCGGGCAGGCTCAACCTCGCGGACCGTGGAGTCAACTGGAGTCTCTACAGCAAGAGGCACATTTGGAAGAGCCTCAATCGCCGGAGTCTCTGCAGCTGCATACTCAACACCGTCTTGCTGACGTGGAGCTTGTTCCTTGTCCTTCTTTGACTTCTTGCCTTGTTTAGTCTGTGCGACCCCAGTGTCCTGTGTGCTCATCTTCTCGACATCTACTGGTGTCTCTGGTAGAGGATGACGTCTCTTCTTACCCTTGGTTCTTCTGAGACTTGAAGACCCGGCCAACTCATCAGGATCAGCCTCCTCAAGAACACCGGGAGGTGACTTTCGCGCTGCAAAAGCAGGGTCATTGAGCACGTCTAGGGGATCGAATGATACGGTGTCCGTAGGTGCCATTGCCACTTCGATAGGTGGTAAGACATCAGGCCCAGTAGGCTGCGTCGGTCGCAGTTTTGGAGAGCCAGAGACCGATGAAGAACGGCTTAAGCTTCCGAGCCGAGATCTACTGGCTCTCTCTTTTGCGGCGGTAATGTCGTCATCTGGTGTGATATCGCGAGCTCCTGAGATAGAGTTCGAGCGATGGAATGACTTGTCGTTGATGACATATCCAGGATCAAAACCAGACTCTTGCAAACTGGCGGCCACGGTGGCTGCGAAGTCTATCTCTCTTGCTGGCGACTTCGAATCCGATCGAACTGGCGACGCCAAGCCAAGTTGACTACGGGACGCAACTCTAGCTACATGGCGTTTCTCAGGCGATGGAGGTAGGACGGGCGTCACAGATCGAGATAGATAACGCTTCTCAGGAGATGGGGGTAGAACGGGTGTGACAGATCGAGACTGACTCTCGTATCGTTCGGCGAGATTTCTGACACTGCCAGAACCTTCCCTGCGCAAGTTACGTTCCGCGCTGGGGCCATCCTGCGATGCGCCGCGCTCGAACAACGCTGCTAGCTTGTGCTTCTTGGACGACTTCTTGTGCAACAGTGGTTGCTGAGGAGTATTGTCGGGTTCGGTAGCTCTGACTTGGACACCAGCGGTTGAAATGTCGGATATGGATCTAGAATGCATACCCTTAAGCTTGTTAGGAACTTCTTCGACATTCGGCTCGGACGCTGATGGCGTTGCGGTCGTGTTTTCCGCGGGAAGTATGCTATCTTGAGTCTCCCTCTGGCGAGAATTCGATGTAACTCTCGACAGGATGTTTGCTTCAGGCATGGGGACTCTCTCTTCGACTGGACCGGTAGGTGTGACATTGGCCGGCTCCTCCGACGACGTGGTAGCGATCATTGACTTGCGCCTCTGCTTCTTGTCGTTCCTTGTGGTTGTTTCAGCCTTAGGCGTAGCTTCAATCGTTGGGTGCTCGGCACTCAAACGCTCCTCTGCGTTGCCATCTGGGACGATGATCTCTTGGGGTTCGACCTCTGAAGGTAGGTCACGCTGACTTTCAGTTACCGGTGCGACAGGCGCGTCTTCAATGGGGTCAACTGGGGCGTCTATGGGGACTGGGAGCTGAGTGCCCATGAGTTCTAATGGATTGACCAGCGGCTCTTCGTCTCGAACTTCTTGGGCTTTTCCCACATCCTCTTTGCTCTTCCCTTTGTCCTTCTTGGTTTCTTTGCGTGCTAGAGCAGGGACAGCCGCAAGCTCTTGTTTTCGCTCCTGGGTGCTTTCTGAGACATGTGTAGACTCGGTGTAGTCGGTCAAGATAGGTTCTGGAAGAACTTCAGTGCTCTTGACATCTGGCTCCGCATGCAGTCGTGATATAGCAGCCGGCTCGCTGGCTTCGGGAAGCGATACATCCCTCGTGGCGGATGTTCCAAGGTCCTGCGCGGCTAGTGCGTCTTGTTTGACTCTTTTCTTGTCCTTTTTGATAAACTCCTGAGATGGAACGGGTGACTCATCGATGGTCGTCTTTTGTTGCTCGGTAGCCACTAGCGGCAGAGTATCTTTGGTTGTCTCTATTGGCACGACGATTGAGGTATCAATCCGTGTTTCCTCATCTTGGCTTGATGTCTGCGGCGCCGCGACAAGTTCCTCCACAGCGAGCTCACTTGGTGTCTCAATGCTCTTTATAGGGGATGTCTCGACAACAGGTGCTAGAGATGGAGCAGCTAACCCATAATCAGGTAAAGCTACCTCTTGAGATTCAGCCACAGTAGCGGAAGAGACATCCTGGGACGAAGTCACTGGCGTATCTTGGAACTCGATAGTTTGTTCAAACTTCTGCTTGTCTTTCTTGTCAAGGTTCCTCGACAGCACTGGCTCGTCTTCTGCAATGGTTTCTTGAACGTCTTCAGTGACGGCCGACGAAGCTAGGGTTTCGACTGTGGCTGGCTCGGCAGAGCCCATTCTCTCAACATCCATGGGCGGGGTAGGTTGGGGAGTGTCGTCTGATATGGTGGTGCTAGCTGAAGGTTCAGTGGCAACTTGTAAATCTTCCCTTGGCTGCTCGATGGCTGGCTTTGGGATATCGCCGATCGGCACGCTCGATTGCGTTGGTGTGTCGTGAAGCTCATCAAAGCTGATCGCAGGCCCTTTGGCCTTGGCCTTTTTCTTTTCTTTCTTGCTCAGGTTGCGGGAAGGCACATCGGTCAGGACGAGGCTCTCCTCTACTGGGATTGGTGTGCCAACAGCTCCCGTCTCCTCAAGAACCTGCTCCTCCACTAGAGTGGGCGCAGAAACAGGTGCAGGCATTCTGGAGCCCTCCTTCGTCTCGACCGCAACCTCAGTTTGGGTCGCAGGAGTCGTCGATAGAGTATCAGAATCGACCTTGCTCTTCTTTGCCTCTTCTTTATCCTTCTTTGTAAGCCTTCTTACCAGATCTAATATAGAAGTCGGCTCAGTGGCAGAGGATTTGTCAGTATTTCCTTGTGTGGCGAGATCTGCGTCGAGGGCTTCGGCACGAAGTCGCAGTTCAGCAGCATCATCTTGAATCGCCTTCAGGGAGGGTGATAGCTCGTTTCGTGGAACATCATCGTCTTGAGTAACAGGGCCCGCTCCATGGTGTGCAGTGAAAGAGTCGGTGGGTTCGATAGGCTGCTGCTCGTCAAAGCTTCGCTGGGTATCTTCAGGAGCCGCATCGAAGACATGAGATACTTGGTCTTCATCAGCCTCAGTGACGGTCGGTACGTTCCCTACGATTGGTGTCGTAGGTCGTTCGATATCCTTTGTGACCTCGGTATTCGTAGGTAAACTGTCGTTGTGGTAGATCGAGGCATCAGTGGGGATTACAGACGAGACCTCCTTGTCGTATGCAGTTGGGCTAGGAGTTTCAAAGGACACTTCCTCTGTGATGATTGATGGAGATGGGATAAGTGCCTCTAGATTGGATGGCTCGACGATACTCGGCTGGGCATCGGTGTTTTCAGATGATACCTTTGGCACATCCCTGTTTTCATCCAAGATAGCAACGGGCTCAGCTGACGCTTCAGCTAAGTCCTTCACAATATCGCTACGGTCGTTTGTCATCTCTCGGGTCGCTTGCGATCTGTGAGCGGCCTCATTGACGGGCTGAGATGTGGAAGGTTTGGGGAGTGGTTCAACTTCCTCGGTCTGATATTGGAGGTCCACAATAGCCGGCGCGACAGTTGGGAAATCCGAGGACGGGTCCTGCAAGGGCTTTTGCTCGGATTTCTTTGCATTCGATGGCGCTGATGCTTGAACTTGAGGAACAGAACTGTCTTGCACCTCAGAAAAGCTTGATGGGACGCTGTTCGGTAGCACTGCGATATCCATCTCTTGTGATGCAGTTGATGTTCTAGGCTGTTCGGCGGATTCCGGAGCATCGCTGACGGCAGGAAAAGGCTCAGCCTCAGCTTTTGTTGCCATGTTCGATGGCTCTTCGATCGGAATCATCACTGGCTGCTCCGTGTCCTGAACGGTTTCCTCTGGATCCTTTGAATCGGTAGATTGCGGTCCGCCAGTAGTGATGGGCTCGATCTCGAGCGCTTCCGATGCCTTTGCCTGTCCAGGAAGTTCAGACATTTCGCTGACGGGTTCATTTGCGACATCGATAACAACAGGCTGGGCCGCACTCTTCTTGTCTTTCTTAGCCTTCTTGCCCTTTTTGGGAGTCACGGAAACTACGTTCTCTACTTCTGCGACTTCAGGCAGTGACTCGCTCGTCCTTACGGTTGGATCCTCTCGTACAGGTTCGGATACGTCGCGAGAAGCCTCGCGCCCGACGACAGGACCTCGAGCCATTAGGGCGGGGTCTTGTGTAGATTCAACCAAAGTGGTGTCGAGAACATCAGCCAGAGGCGATGGTTCTGCTGACGCATAGTCGGTGGACAGCTCGATGGAAGGCTCGACGGCAGGCTCACTGTCAACCTTGAATTCACCAGCCAGAGCAGCAGCCTGCTTCTGTGCCTTCTTTCGCTCTTTCTTGCTCAGCTTGCGTTCAGGAATCGACTCCCGCATGTTTGTCTCACTCTTGGCTTCTTCCAGAATCGCTGTCTGTGGCACTGAATCTTGTTCGCTAGCTGCAAGTGCAGTCTCAGTGGCAGGTGTAGTGACAGTTGTCTCCTGCAGTGGGAGATCCTCCGGTTGGATTGCAGCTTCCTCTACCTTGGGCTGCTCATCCACGACTGGTGCGAAAGAGACACGAGCCTCAGTTGTAAGAGGCACTACACCATCAGTAGCTGTGATAATGCTGTCAGACTCAGCTGCGGGTAGAGCCTCGGTTGTTGGCGTCATGGCATCTGTCTTCTTGCTCTTCTTGCTTTTCTTCTTCTTCGAGATCGTTGGCGATGCTGGCTCCTCTGCTTGAGATTCAACAGCTACTGCTGGTATATTTGTGGGCTGCTCTTCGATGAGTGCTGGCACGGCAGTAGGAACTGACGCATCGTAGCTGACAGCTTCCTCAGTCGGCTCGTCAATCAAGACTTCTCGTGCAACCGGGGCATCTTGCGTTGTAGGGACTTGCTCGTCTTTGTTCGATTGCTCAACAATAGACTCTAGAGTGACAGCCGATGGAACGGATGGGACGTTCTCCGTGGAAGGCGTCGTAGAACCAGACTTCGTGATTTCTTCCTTGGCGACCTGCGTCGGAAGCAGTTGGAGAGCGCTATCATTGAGTGAAGATTCCTGGTTTACTGGGAGCGCAGGTATCTCGGCCACGGCTTCGTCGTAAGGCGCGTCAGTCAGTGTGTCCTGGATAACTGGCTCGTTGCTGCGAGCGCTGACATCTTGTGCGGCTTCAGCCTTGGGTTCGACTATATCTTCATTGATGGGTGTGTCCCTACCCAAAGCTTTCGCTCTCGCCTTCTTGGCTTTCTTCTTGTCTTTCTTGGACAAAGGTGCGGCGTCAGCTAAACTAAGCGAAGACTCTTGTCCTGCAGTAGGGGTCGAAAGCTGCTCCATCTGGGCATGCGGCGGGATCTCGAGATCAGATACTGCAACCGGCATATCATCGACCGTCTCAGCTGGCGGGTCGATAGTACGGTCTTCGAGCGATGGTACCTGAGAAGCAACTTGAACAGGTTCAGCAGCCACCTCTAGCTCGGGCTGTGGTTCTGTAGGATTTGATGGCTCTTGAGTATCTTGAGTGACAGGTACCTGAGAATCGACAGATGTTGTCGGCTCAACGGCCCTGCTCTCTGAAGCCGACTCAACATCATCCGGCTTTGATACAAGTACGTCTTCAACTGGTGTTGATTCAGGGACTAGCTCAGCAACCTCCTGGCTTTGTTGAGCAGGCACGGCTTCGGTGATTGGATCGTGTGGTGGTTCCGAAACGACGTCTTCGGCAGGTGTTGTAGTGCCGGTTTCCTTCTTCGCCTTCTTGATCTTCTTCTTGTCTTTCTTTGACAGCGGTGGTACCGGAAGCTCCTCGGTGGGCAACTGTATGTCATCAGAAGTCTGCAAAGCAGGCTGTGATACCGCCGATGGGTCAGATACAACCTCTTGAGCCTCGGTAGGTGCTTCGCGTTTGATGTCGGCTAGCGGAAGCTGTAGTATTTCGTCCAGAGGAGTCGAAGTGGGTCCCTCTGGTACAGTTACCATCGCATCAGCTGGCGTATTGCTAATTGAAGTGCCAGATGGTTGAATATCTTTGTGTTGATCAGAAACAGGAATCTCACGTGATACTTCAAGCTCAGCAACCGGTCCAGACGCCGTTTGCGTTGATTCAAGCTGTACCGAAGGTGGTCCCTCCGGTTGTGAAGACTGAACCTCAGAAGTAGTCTCGGTAGGCGCAATCATGCTAGACGTTTGCTTGGCCTTCTTACTCTTCTTCTTACTCTTCTTGGGAGAGATGGGCTCATCGAATTGTGGCTCTTGTGTTTGCTCAGCTCCCGAAGGAGCAGTTACAGGCTGTTCATTGCCACCAACTACACGCTCCGTGTCCTTGAGTATAGATTCCGCGCTAGTTAGCTCGTTATCGAAACCAGGCACAGGTGTGGGCGTGTCGGGCTTTGTAAGCACGTCCTGGTGTTCTTCTGCCGCAATCGGGGAAAGGCCAGACTCGTGGATATCGGCGACTGCCTGACCGTGGTTGAAGGTAATTTCCTCTTCAGTGGGCTTTGCATCAGCCTCCGGCTCAGGAGTGTTTACTACCGCCTTGTCTTCGACGAGTACAGGATCCTCCAGAGGCTGGACATCCTCAATGGAAGAAGCGACTGGCTCCTTGGGTTCTGGAGCTGCGATAATCTCGCTCAAATTGTCCGTAACGTCTTGCTCAGGCTTGAGAAGTCCGGTCTGCAGTTCCGGTTCTTCGGCAGTGGATACGCGCTTGGCTTTCTTGTTCTTCTTTTTCTTCTTAGAAGGAGCGGCCACCTCATTAGCTTCGTCAAGTAGGCGCGATGGCTGTGCAGTCGATGTAGAATTAGCTTCTTCCACAATGTTCTCGGTCTCTTCTTGTGGATGAAGAACAGTCGGCTGGTCTGTCACAGAGTCTGGTAGAGCGGAAACGTGGTGTTGTGGCAGCTCCAGTTGGATAGGGACTTCTGGCGTGCTTGTTGGCTCGACATCCACAGCTGGAGATGGTTCTACAACTGTGGATTTGTCCAGGATGTTTGGCTCCGGCGCAAGCTCTTCCACAGCGAGTGTTGGCTTCTCGATCTCCAACGCTGCAGCATCAACTTCGGCAGCTGCAGGCTCTTGCGATGGAATCGGCGCAGCTTGCTGCTCGACAGTCATTGGTTCCAACCCAGTAGCGCTCGGTTCTGTAGTCATGGTCTCTGAGACCTCTCCCTCCACGACCGCAAGCTTTTCCTTGCCGGCTTCAGCTCTAGCATCTTCCATCTGCTCCCCTTGTCTCTCACCTACCCCTTGATCTTGTACATCTTCCACTACCCTTTTCGCCACCTCATATTCAAAATCCTCCTCTTTTTTCTCCTCTTCATGTCCACCATCCTCCCTTACATCCTCAATCTTCACATCATTATCATCAACAAGCTCATTATTCGTAAAAGGCTGGGGATAGGATGTCGGTATCCCCGAGAAAGGTAGTTGGGTCTCCGAAAGTGTAGGGATCGACAGAGACGGCTGAGTATCAGAGTTGGCTGCCTCAGGCGTCTCATCCGCTAAAAAAGGCACCGCCTTCTTAGCTTGCTTCTTCGCCTTCTTCTTGTCCTTCTTGGACGAAGGTGAAAGCGGATCTGGCTCCTTGTCTGGTGGCTTGGGATCGCCTGGAGGTTGCTCTGGAGTAGCGACGATAGTGGCTTGTTCTTCAGCTGGCGTTGGGTCGGTTGTTGGCTCACTGGTCGCAGTAGACGGTTCAAGCTGCTGTTCGACCTGCTTTATCTCACTAGTAGATGTCTCACCTGGAACGGTGGACTGACGGGATGCATCTGTCGGTTTGTGCTCGTCAGTGGGCTCTTGAGCTGCTTGATTATCGGCTAATTGAGACTCAGAAGTAGGGTCCTTGAGCAAATCTTCAGCTGGCGTTGCAGACTCAGATTGTTCACTTCCAACAGCCGACGCGCGTTTGGCCTTCTTCAACTTCTTTCTCTGCGACTTCGGTAGTCCAGCCCAGTCTTCTGGCTCTTGCTCATCGTCTTGCTTGGCATCTTTAGGGAGAGCTCCGGTGCTAGGCATAGTTGGTACGTCTGATATGGTAGTCTCAGCCGCAGGTGGAATGATGGATTGCGTTCCCTCTGTGAGAACGTTCCCATCATCGCTGGTGATCAGCCCCTCGCTTCCAGTTCCCTTTTCAGCAACGGCAGCTGGCGCAGCCGAGTCTATGACCTCTGTTTGCAGCGCCTCGGTGGTTGCAGTGTCAATTGTCTCCTCGGGCAGCTCCGCAGAAGGCTGCTCATCCAAAGATGGGTTAGCTGTTTGGGTCGGTGCCTCGGTGGAAACAAGAGGTTTAGAAGATGTGGCCTCGGCGGTGGAAGTTTGCTCAGCTGCTTTCTCCACTTTCTCCGTCTCTTTCTTTGACGACGACACAGTATCCTCTTCTTGTGTGGCCTTCGAGGGGATCTGTTCTGCAACAGGTACAGACGCTGCTACTTCTTCGGAAGGTGCGGGTGCAGCAACTGAAGCCTCTGTCTGCTCGACAACTGGTGCTATAGGGTCTTGGTCGATGATGGCACCATCGTTGACTTTTTCCGCAAGCTCTTTGACAGGCTCATCCATTGGAGTGGAAGGAACGGATGGCTCAGCTTCTGCGATTGAACCTTGCTTGTTCTTCTTCGCTTTCTTCTTCTCCTTCTTAGAAAGCTTTACCGGCTCATTAGTGATCGAAGGTGTTGTGGGCTCTTCGGCAGGACCCTCGGTCGGGACAACTGTAGAAGGCAGCTCAGTTACTACTGCGTCAGATGACTTTCCTTCCACAACAGAAGTCGATGGAAATCGCTTGTCTTCGGCCGGTACGCCGGAAGAGGTTTCGTCCTTGCTGGATTCCTCAACAATGGCAGATGTTGCAGCAAGCTCGGCTGATGCGACTTCGGAAGGCTGTTGCTCAACGCTCGCAGCAACAGTGTCAAGAGAGCGTTCTTGGGACTTCTCTACTGGCGTCTCGACTGGAATAGCATCAACAATAGATTCGCGCTCTGGCTTCTTCGCCTTCTTCTCGTCTTTCGTTGAAACAGGCCCTGCGGCCTCTGGCGCAGCTTCGACTTGGATAGGCACCTCAGAAATAGGCGAAAGTGTTGCAGCGGGCTCTTGGACAGATGCAAGTATCGTTGTCCGCTCTTCAGCAACATCGGGAAGGGTAATTGGCGTTTCTTCAATGACAGGGGTTTCAGAGATAAGTCCCTCAGTAGCTGGAGTCGTGGACTCGATCTGCTGTTCCAGCACCGGCTCAGCCTTTTCCTCAATGGAAGTGGGCGGAATAGAAGTAGACTCTTGGGTGGTTGAAACGCGCTTGGCCTTCTTAGCTTTCTTCTTGTCCTTCTTCGAGAGAGGCGCGACAGCTTCTTCTGTGGCATCTACTATGTTGGGTTCCTCAGGCACGAGTGCATCGATAGTTGGCATCTGCTGACTTGGCTCGTCGGATGTTAGCGTTTCGTCTTTCTCTACGATAGTTGCTTCAGAAACGGGTGAAGCTGTGGCATCGGAAACGGTGTCACGTTCGGCAAACACATTCGAGGCGGGCGTAATGTCGAGATTGGGCCCTTTGCTTGAGGTAGTTGCTCTTGCAGATTCTGCAACTTCAACAAACGTAGATGGTGCCTCTGCAGTAGTTTCGGGCAACGACGCCGATGGCTCAGGGTGCAGGATCGGGTCTTCAGCGACGGAAGCACGTTTGGCCTTTTTAGCCTTCTTCTTGCTCTTCTTGGAAGTCGTCTCCTCCGCTTGCTTCTGCTCAGCTGTAGATGCGACAACATCAGACTGTGTAACCATGGCGTCTTCTTGGTCTCTGGGCACAGGTGTGGGATCGTCCGGGGTACTGGCGATGACATGTTCAGCCGGCGACGTGGTTGGAGGTACATCGTCTTGAATGTTACTATCCACTGGCGTCAATATCGGAGATGCGGTCTCGGGAACGGTCTGTGTCTCAACGACGGATTCTTCTGTAGACTTTTCATGAGCATTAGACGCGACTGGCTCTTCGATAGTTGGTTCATCGAAAGCTCGCATCCTAGCCTCGGCAGGCGTAGAAGATTTCTTGGGCGCCTCACTCTCGACTCCGGCCTTTTTAGCTTCCTGGCCTTTCTTGTCTTCGTTCGAGAGCGGTGCAGCCTCAACGCCTTGCTCCGGGACGGGCTCGTCGCGCATTTGTCCGACAACGATCGGTTGGGCGTCTTCCTGGAACTGGGTGGGTGTCGTGGAAGCGATGACATCCTGCTCGGAAGTAGAAGCCTCAATATGCTCTGGCAGAGGTTCAGTGGCACTAGGCTCACGAACAACGTTTTGAGTGGTCGGTTCCTCAGTTGCTGCGATAGTGGTCTCGGAAGTGATTGGCGCAGACTCGGCAACAAGAGTCTCAGGCTCGGAAGCCGATGCTCCCTTTTTGGCCTTCTTCTTTTTCTTGTTCTTCTTGGGCGTGCTAGGAGCGTCTTCGTCTTGTACTGTTTCTTCGGCATGTGGAGCGTCGGCGACTGCTTTGCTAGGTGTTGCAACGTCATCAAATGGTACGGCAGATGAAACGGGTTGTGTAAACTGGTCAGCTACCAGAGCACGATCCATCTCAGCGATTGGGCCAGCGGGAGTGTCTAGTACAGGCTGCTCACCCGTAAAGCTGGACTCAAGAGGTGTCACCGGAGTAGCGACATCAGCAACGAAGCCAGTTAGCTTATCAGAAGAGGCATCGCGAAGCTCGGGTTCGAGCGCTGAGCCATCCTCGGTGTGGTGCTGCTCAGTAGTACCTTGCGTAACAGGACCAGAAGTAACATCGGGCTTGACAGCTGTAGCAGTATCGTCGGTGATAGGCTCATGTCTAAGTGTCGCTGGGTCCTGTTGGAGCTCGACATCCTGGGTGGCATCCTCATTTGCTTGCACCTCCTTCGGCGAAATCGATGGGATCTCCCTGGAGCTCTCCTGCGGCGGCAGCGGGACATCATCCTCGGTGCGTCTGGCGTCTTGGGAAGGCTCGGAAGGGACGTCGGTCTGTGGTGCTGGCTCCTCATCAACCAGTGTGCTAGGCTCAGTAGCGTCAATGGATTTGCCCTTTTTACCCTTCTTCTTGCTCTTCTTGGAGATTGGCTCGGCCTCTACAGCTGGCAGCGTGGGCGATGCAGGGACGATAAGATCTCGAGCGATCTCCTGCTGTGTGCCAGCAGCGTTAGCAGAGATGTCGGCAACAGGTTCATGGACGACAGGGACATCCTCAGGAACCTCAACTTGGGGGACTACCGGCTCTTCCAGATCATTGTCATCGGTGTCGGGAAGAGCTACAAGCTCAGCCAATGACGCAGCTTGCTCTGACTTAGCAGGCTCAGCCTGTGCTGAAGGAACGGATTCAGCTGTGGGTTGCTCAGGTTGGGCAGAGTTCGTGAATGGGTCAGGCTGAGAAGTAGCTACTTCAGCAACAGGCGTACTTGGCTCGGTTTCGGTCGGTTTTCCCTTCTTAACCTTCTTCTTTTTACTCTTTTTAGATGGCGTAGCAAGCTGATCGTCTGCGATGGGCTCGTCAATCTCTCTGGCAGGCGTTTCTGGAAGAGGCACTGTCTCTGGTTCAATAGCCAGCGTCTCTTGTGACGGTTCGCGTGGGGGATCCTCGGCAGGGAGTGAAGGCTGAGAAACTTCCGTGACTGACTCTACAGGTAGCTCGGGAGAAACATCGAGTGCTGGGTCACTCTGTGTCACTTGGGACTCGACCTGGGGCTGTTCGAGTGGCTTAGGAGATGTAGCCGGAATGTGATCTGCGATTGGTCCGGATCCAGTGGCTTCAATAGAAGGTTCAGTCTCCGCCTTCACATCGGCTACGTCGATAGATGTGGGTTCGATCTCGACTGGTTTACTCTTTTTGGCTTTCTTCTTCTTGGACTTTTTCGATGGCGTTGTAGGCTCTTCTTCCAGTAGCGTAGCAGATTGTAAACGCTCTTCGACTGGAGCCACTTGCGAGATCGTTGAATCATCAAAGGTGGACTGCGTTTCGGTGACTCCTGGAGTTGACTCAAAACCGACCATAGGTTCAGAGAGAGTATCGTCCAATGCTCCGCGAGTGGATCTTGTTTCCTGTTGCGGTTCATGTATCGCTTCAGGAAGGTCTTGACTTCCAGCGACTTCTGCCTGAGGCCCCAATTCGCGCTGAGCACCAATGGGTGGAACGCTTGATACGTCCTCATTGGCCTGATCCTTCTTGCTATCCTTCGAGGATGTTTTGACTTCTTCATCTGTGACCGTTACAGGCTGTAGCAATTCTGATTGCTCCGTAATGACGGGGATTGCGCTCTCAGTGGAAGGCTGTAGGGTCTCCGAGTTGAACTTCTCTTGCACAGGGATTACGTCGTTAACGATAGGCTCCGACTTTGCCGCCTGTTGTACAGACTGTTCCACCGCAGGTTGGGAAGCGGCGACAACAGGGCGAGCTTGAACATCCTCTAATTCTGGTTGTCCCTCAAGGATTGGTGTACTAGGCTCCTCAACCGAAATCTTTGTCTTCTTGCCCTTCTTTTTTTTCTTGTCTTTCTTAGAAGAAGGTACATCCGCAACGTCATCAAACACTAGATCTGCGACCTGGCTTGGTTTAGCTGTCGATGAGTTGTCTGGCTCAAGATGCGTTGGCTGGATCTTTTGGGGAATATCGTTGCTGTGCTCCGCGGGTCCCTCCTTGGGTGCCTGATCAATGACAACGTCGAGCTGTGGCTGCTCTTCGAGAACAACCGGTCCGGCCTTCTCGGCATTCGAATCCTTCGCATCAACATCCTGAATCTTATCTTTGAGCTCTAATGGCGCTTGTACAGCGATGGTGGCCTCCTCTTGATCGATCTCTCTATTCGTGTTCTCTTGCTCCACGCTTGGCTCGACATTAGCACTTTCCTCTTGCGTAAAGACCTCCTCCACGGAGGGTTTGACATCTTTGGTCTTCTTGCCCTTCTTCTTCTTGTCTCTCTTCGAAGTGGGAGCTGATGGGGTATCCTCCGTCTTCGATTCGATGGGAGTCAAGGCCTCAGCTGTAATTGTTGGCTGTTCTGATGGCGTAGACAAATCCTCGTCGAAAGCGGCAGTCGGAAGAGGTACAGTGGCAGGATCAGCTACATCATCAAGCTTCTGCTGGGGAAGAGAAACCTCTACAGCATCAACCTGTTCGATCGATGGTGGTCGCTCAATATCGCGAGTCTGATCAAAAAGTTCTTCTGTAACAGCTACCGGCTCACTGGCCGGTGTAGACGTTTGAAGGGGAGCTGTAACCTGCTCAGGCGCGACTTCGATCTCAGGCAGGGGCGTCGCGATACCACTTTTCCGCTTGCTCTTCTTAGTCTTAGGCGTAGTAGGGAGCTCAGCTTCTATAGGCGCCGAAGAATATTCGAGTTCTGGCTTAGTCTCCTCAATAACGTCTACAGAGGTGTCCTTCTCGGAAGGATACATGAGATCTTTGTCGGATTGTTCGTCAGGCAAAGGTATGTTGGCAGCCTCAACTGTGGTAGACTGGTGTATGTCATGGGTGGCAGTCGGCTGGTCAGACAACTTCTCGCTTGCTTCGACAGATTCAGAGACAGTAGTGGGTGAGGGTTCCTGCGCGGGGATACCACTCTTCTCACTCATCTTCGTATTGGATGTATCGTCCTGGACAGAGGGTACGAACTCGGTTGGTGCTTCTTGTTTTGTCACAGCCGCCAAGTCCAGAGGAAGAGAGGATTCTTCGTGTGCAACCTCCTCCATGGTTGATGTGACTTCGGATGCGAGCTTCAAACCCTCGCTCTCTGATGGCGCAGTCCTTTCTTGCACGGTCTCCGCGGTCGAGGGCTCGTTGATGGCGATATCCTCAGCTGTAGTCACCAATTCACTTGTGGGTGTCGCGCTGACTTGTCGACTCGGCTCCTTCTCGCTGCGCAGTGCCGGATTCCATGATGCATCAAGCGAACGCTCAGCAGAAGGTACAACAGGCAATGTGGTAGCCGATGTCTCGGCTTCAGTGATCGCGGGCTCAGCAGTCTTGCTCTTCTTGCTCTTCTTAGCCTTCTTCTTGCCAGCAGATGGAGTGACCTCATCAACGGCTGGAATGGACAACTCTGCAGCTACTGGCTCCTTGACCTCAACGGCTGGTTCAGCAGAAACGACGGCAGACGGCTCTTCGCTAAGAGGCGTAGCTTCAAGTGCTACTTGTTCACCTCGAGGTTCGACCGCACTTCCCATAGAAGTCTCTTCACCTCTTTCGGCTTCGAGTTGGCGCTCGACAGGCCCAGGGGCTGGTTGCTCGTCTGAGACTTCCGACGCAATACCAATGGGAGCATCAGTAGTCGTATTGACGGTGTTTACAGGCTCATCCAGATCAGGAACCTGTACGCTACTCTTCTTCGTCTTTTTCTTCGGCTTGATGATCTTCTTCTTTGACGAGCTAGGTTCAAGCGAGATTCGATCATAGGTAGAACCACCAGACTCAGTCGGGACTGAGTCAGAGATCGTGCTGGTAGGTTGCCCATCATCAGCGAACAAAGCATTTCGAGCAAGAGATAAAGGTTCTGCAGTCTTCTCTTCGATGGCTGTGCTTTTGTTGACCGATACCGAGGACGCTGTGGGCGTAGAGACAGTTCCAAAGGCGAACGGTGGCTTTCCGTCATCGGTGAAGAAGGAACTCCGGGGTACAGCGAACGCAGATGATTCTTGCTCCGTTTCGATCTTCGTGTCGGTGGAATTCGAGGCTGCCTGCTCAGCGGGTATAGAGATTGATGGGAACGCAAATGATGGCCTCCCATCATCAGTGAAGAACGTACTCCGAGGCGCAACGAAAGTGGATGGGGTTTGTTCCCGCGGAACCTCTGTTTCCTTCGCAATCGATGTAGCTTGCTCTGCAGTAGCAGATGGTATCGAAGGGTACGAGAACGAAGGCTTTCCGTCATCAGTGAAGAACGTGCTACGCGGTGAGACACCCATAGAAGCTGTGGTTTCTTCTGTGATGGGGATTTCTTTAGCTGTGGAGCTGGGTTCGATGGCAGGAGAAGACGACATCGTCGGGAAGGTGAATGATGGTTTTCCATCGTCGGTAAAGAACGTGCTGCGCGGAGAGACGTAAGCAGGGCTCTTTGCCTCCTTCGCAGCAGGCAGTTCTTCAGACTCTGCTGTGGTCGACGTAGCTGCAGGCGTGGAAGGTACAGGTGGGAATGTAAAAGATGGCTTTCCATCGTCTGTGAAGAAGGCAGTAGAAGGTGTAGCTTCTTCAAGTTGCAATGTAGTTTTCTCTTCGACAGCAGGAATGTCCTTGGGAGTATCGGAAGTCTGCTTCTGAGGTGTCGCTGGCGTCTTAGGGAATGCGAAAGAAGGTTTACCATCGTCAGTGAAGAACGCAGTGTGGGGTGTGACAGTGGAGCCTGCTTCGTCTTGAACAAGATCGCGGGTTGCCTCGGCTGGACGCTGATCAGGTACGGCGGCTCTTTTGACTTCAGTCTCGAGCTGTAACTGCGGCTTCGCTGGTTCGTCCTGTGTACTCTTTCGGGAAAGAGTAGGCCTGATCCCGACTGTGGCAATCTTCTTGTCAGGCACAATCGGTGGAGATGGCAATCCCTTACGTTTAGCCTCTTCTCTAGCAGCAGCCAGCGCAGCCAGGACGGCAGACTGGGGTTTAGGTGAGGATGGAGGCGAGGATGTTGGTGACGGCGCCTTTTTCTTGCCCCATCCAAGAGCACCCCACAGGCCGGAACCCCAGCCTGATCCTCCCGACTGTCCTTCGATAGTGGAGGCTCGACGTTGTTCCTCGACGTTGACCTTGTTCTTAACTTGTTCAGGACCGTCGGATGTGCTAGGACGAGCTTGAAGCTCGGGTGTGGCAGGCCCAGCTGGAACTTCCATCTCAGGTTCTTTGGGGTTCGTAGAAGCGACAGGTGTAGGTACAATGTCCTTTGAGATTGCCTCATCAGCCGAAGCGGCTGGCACGTCTTCTTGAACCAAAAAGTCCATGACATCGACCTTGTCGTTCGTCTCGGTGCGTTCAAAAGATGGCTCGAGAATATCGCGCTTAATGGTCTCCTGTTGTGACTCTGACGAAGGTAAGATCTGGTCATCTTGAGGTGCGATTTCGGGTAAAGACGATGGCTCGGGCTCAACTTGTTTACTACCGCGTTTTCCCTTCTTGTTCTTCTTTCCCTTCTTGGCCTTTGGTGCAGGCGTAACCTCCTCATCGACGATTGGCTCGGTAGCTGATTCGGTAGGTGGTTCAACGATTGGTTCAGTAACAGGCTCACTAACAGGCTCGGTGATAGGCTCAGTGATAGGCTCAGTGATAGGCTCAGTGATAGGCTCAGTGATAGGCTCAGTGGTAGGCCCAGCGGTTGACACATCGGCGGGCGTAGAAGAACTAGGTTCTGCAGGCGCATCCTGTGAAGATATTGATGTCGCTGGGGCGAAATCGGTTGATATTCCAAGCCCTGTCTCTGCCTTTTCAACTTTTTCGATTGACCTCGCGGCTTCTTGAGGAACGTCATCAAAGGTAGCGCGCCTGACTTCAGTAGACTCGTCTTTAGGCGGTGCAGTACTGTCCAGAACTTTCTGTCGAAAGTCCTTGGCATCTGCAGGCGTAGCCACAGGCTCACCAACAAGCGTAGCATCATCTGTGACGATAGACTCGGACCTGTTCTTGATCCAATCATCCTCGTCCTCGACGAACGTCGGAGCGAAGCTGAAAGAGGGCGAAGGCTCTACCATTTCTTCGGTCGGTGCAGGTATTGGTGACTCAGCTGCGACGGCCTTCTTACTCTTCTTGCCCTTCTTACCTTTACCCTTACCCTTTTCCTTTGGTGATGGCTCGACGACGTTTTCCGCGGTCTCAATTTCAGGCTGCTTTGACTTTCCGACTGATGAAACCTCATCTTTGAAATCATCGCGCTCAGACCTAGTCGGCGAAGGGGAACGCTTTCGCATCGCAACCGCTGTCAATCCTCCCACTACAGCACCAAGAGCAGCATCCTGAAGTCTTGCCGAGCTACTTGATGGCGCAGAGACAGCATCACGAGGTGTAGGCACGTCACGCATCATCCTATCGTCAAGCGGGGCACTTGTATCGAGAGGCGTCTCTGGCTGTGGAGATGTCAAGGTTGACATGAAAGCATCATCGGTAGACTCATCCTGTTCTTGTGCTCTTGCGTGTTCCAGCGCCGCAGTAAGTGATTCATAGTTTGGACCACTGGATCCTGACGACGTTTCCTGCGCACCTGTAAAATAGTCTGAAGCTTTCGGTGTAGCTTGCCCAGATTCCTCGACCTCTTCAGCCTCACGGTGTGCAACCTCAGGCTGTTGAGGTTCCGTTCCATAGCGAGGCGAAATGAGGTCGGATACGGCACTTAGAGGATCATAAGATGGATCATTGGACGATTGCCCAACGCTCTCGTACGGTGATTCTAGAGCGGACTCGAACTCTTCCTCTGAGTCTGCGCCGGAGACAACTGAAGATGCACTACTGGGTGGGAGCGCTGGAAGTACCTCGTCGATCTCATCGGTTTTGCGGTTGCGCTCCACCAGATACAGCGGTCGAAACTCGCGAGAGTTTCTGAACTCTGTAGAGTGGGTCTTGCCATGGCGAGAACGAGTTGGTGAGGCAATAGAGACAGGACTAGTTGCTAAGCTTGGATCAGTGGTAGAGGGGACAACGGGCTTGCGAAAGCGTATAGGAACTGCAGTAGAGGATAGCCGGCGTTGAGACGTTGCAGTAGTAGGACGCGAGACATCTGGTGATCGGGTTGGCGAACCTGGCCTAGACAGCGGCAGGGGAGGAAGCTCGTCTGGGAAAGCTTCCAATTGCCAAGGCTGAAGACCTGTAAGACGGGTTAGTAACGCGCGGCTGTCCTCGAACGACAGCTCGGGTGGTGTTCTGGGTCGGTCGGTGTCTTCAGAGGCGGTGAGGCGTTGGGCATCGTCTGATGTCGAAAGAGGAAATTCGGGCCGATCTCCAGGGATTATGCCACTACCCTCGTGGGCCTGATCGACAGGCTCACCTACGGGCAGTGGACTTGGAGTGGCCGTGGCCACTGCCCGATCGCCTAAAAAAGACGGTTGTTCTGGTTGTTGTTCATCGGCATGCGAGGGCGGGGTTCGAGGGTGTAAAGTATCCTATATACACAACATCAACATTCATTCTAAATACATTGCGAACCACCGCGCTATCGCACATGTGAAGAGCGATGTACCTTATCGTCATAAGCATCCCTCCTGTCTCCATCTCCTTTCTCACTGCGACTGCGACTGCTCCTCTTCTCGCGTCGACTACTGCTTGAGATCGTGGAGCGCATGTCATCATCGTCTGAGCCGCCGTAAGTGGAACCGCGATCCGACCGATGCTTCCGTCTACGATGTTTGCGTTCTTCGTCGTCGTCGTCCTTTGACTTCGAGGACTTGCTCGAAGCTTCGGCCAGGTTCTCCCTCGACTTGCTGCTGAACAGGCCTAGCAAGCCACTTGGGCGTTTCTCCTTCTCTCTTCTTGAACTACGATCCTCGTCTAGGTCTGGGATAGAGGATACGACAGAAACCATGTCGTCATCTCGCCTAGAGCGTCTTCGTGAAGATTTGTGGTCATCGTCGTAGTCGCCGTATTCGGAAGCTGCTGACGAGCGCGACCTTCTCTTGCTCTCGGGTGATATGTCCTTCTCGCTTTCCCTCCTCTTGTGCTTGCGTCGTCGTTCGCCAGGAACTTCTGAACGAGTGTCGGAGACGGCAGACTTCGTGTCCCAGTCATCATCCCCATCTTCAGTCTCATGGCGCCGGTGACGTCGCCTTCGTTCACCGCCCTCCTCAAGATCGTAACCGCGATCATGGCTCTTCTCACGAGTCTCAGACTTGGCTTCCCGACGTCTACGGCGTCTCTCTTCACGGTCTGGGTCCTCGTACTTGTAACTCAGAGAGGCGATCGAACCGATGTCATCGTCATCATATCTACGTGACCTGTCGTAGAAATCATCGTCGTATCTGTCATCGTTGTCCTGATCGCGTTCGTCTCGAGCATAGTTGTCCCTCTCCTTGTCGTTGGAGCCTGTGGGAAAGAATCCATCAGATTCCTTATCGTTGCTTTCCCTTCGTGGCGTGTCGTCGGGAGCATAGTAGCCAGGGTCATTTACGTTACGAGTGGTGGGTGGCTCAGGTGCCGTCGTGAAAGGTGACGTAGTGGGAACCTTTGGAGCCTCGACCATAGTCTGATATCTTGAAGGATCAGGAATAGTACGAGCGCCCATATAGTCGTCATACTTCGTCTCGGTCCTGAGAGGAGAACTAATGCTTGGTGACCATTTGCCGCTGCTATGTCTTTTCTGAACCTTCGGTCTCGGTGTCTTGTCGGCTAACTCGTCGATACCCTCGAATGCGTAGCTTGGAATCGTTACATTCTTCTCGTGTTCTTCGAGTGCGCGTGCACCGTTTGTCGGAGACACAGGAGAGTTGCGAGAATCGTTCTTCTCTGTAGACTCCAAATTTTTCCTGGCACGCTCGAGGTCTGAGGCCATCCTGTTCTGATCCTGGTTCATAGTCATACCCATCAGAGCAGCGAAACCACCGGCCATTGCGGCAGTAGCAGATTTACTGCCGCTGGTCTCCTCCTGACGAGAGCTTTTCTTGGGAGAAGTGCTGGGTGATTCCTGGAATGCTTCTCCTAGCCGTGGTGGTTCAGCGGATCGAGATGGCTCGTTGTAGCGAGATGATTCAGGGGCACGCGAGGCTTCAGCGCGTCGAGTAGGCTCGATATCTCTGGGATCCCGCGATGGCTCGATGTCTCTGGGGTCTCTGGAAGGTTCGATGTCCCTGGGATCGCGCTCGATAATCGGGCTTGATGGTGGGCTGGGTTCGCTCATCTCCCATGTATCTACACTAGCTCGCTTCGATGACTTCTTGGACTTCTTCTTCTTGTCCTTCTTGCTTGTCTTGACCTCTGGCTCGGCTTCCTTCTCTTTGACTGGTGCGGAAGTCACGGTGGGTGTTGCGTCCCCACGTCGAGAGACATTCTGCATAGCTACACTTTCATTAGTATCCTTAGACTTATCCTTACCCTTTACGTCCGTCTTCGTCGAGTATGCCGAGGGCCCCTCTGCGGGTACTTCAGACTCGGGCATGTCATCCCAACCACCAGGCATGTGCATGATCGCTGGTGGTGTAGAAACCTCTCCTTCAACAAAACCGGGTCCAATTGGATCCTGCTGAGGAGCTCTCCATGCGTTGCGCTCTGGTTCAGGCTGCCAGTATGCTGTCTGCACACTGCTCGTAGATGGTGCAGCAGAGATGATCGATGGAGAGATGGTGGAAGACGGTGCCGCCGAGATAGTTGATGGAGACATAGTGGAAGGCCACGATGGCGCTGCTGAGATGTTTGACGGAGTGATAGTGGAAGGCCACGACGGTGCTGCCGAAATGGTTGATGCCGAAGTAGTTGATGCAGCAATGGTGGAAGGCGCCATATTCGCATCAGAAAACGGGTTGCTTAAGCTGGACGCGGTGGGTCTGAAGTCACGCAAGTCGCGTTCATCATTTTCTTCTCTAGAAAGAACCGCTGCAGTGGTGAGGGCTGCTGCCGCAGCGGCGGCCGCGGACTTCTTTTCCTTGGTCTTGCTCTTCTTGGAAGCAGCATCCACGACACTGTCCCACGTGGAGTCATCCTTGTCACGAATATACTGTGTACTAGGTGCGGTCTCCTTGCTCTCTGGCACTGTTGACATCTCTGGGCGATAGGGTGTATAAGTAGACGTAGTCTGATGAGGCTTAGACGTCTCCCGCTCAACTGTGGTCTCGTCGGCAGGTTGCTTCGATTCACGCGACTTGAGGTCGCCGTCAGAGACGAATTGTTCGCGGTAGGACTCTGGAGTCGGGACATCAAAGTGGTGGAATTGGTTCTCGCCCCAACTCACTCTAGATCTTGCTCGATTTGACTCGTCGTCCCTTGGCTCGCGCCTGGTTTCCCTGATAGGCTCCACTGCTGGCGATGGACTACGCACAGAGGGTGCGCGACTACCGGGGGGTGTAGGCAAAATGAGGTTCAGCGAAGGTACAGGCGGCGGTTGTGGTTGAGAAGGCCGACCATTCCTGGTGGCCGTGAACGAATACGATGGAGGATACGGTGGAATCTTGGGTTGGCTGATCGGGTAGTCTTCATATGACTGGTACACAGGAAGGTCAGGAGCACCCTCGTTCGGGTCTACGGGATGAACCTTTGGTAGGTTGTCGTTGGTCAGAAGCTCTTCCGGCGCGAAGAAGTCAGCTTGAGAGACTGGCTCGGCAGAGTACCTGTCCTCCCAGTCTTGTAAGACGTCGCGAGCTTGTTGGCGAGAGTTGTCCTGCTTGAAGATGTTGGGGTCGAAGATCTCATCGTCGAACATGTCCTGCTCGATTTTGCTAGGTTCAACGGTCTTGACGCTGGTTGACTCCCGCTTCTTGCTGCTCTTCGAAGACGACGACTTCGATGAGGAAGACTCCCGCTTGCGCTCGCGCTTCTTCTCACGCTCCCGTTCTTTCTCTTGCTCTCTCTCCTTCTCTTTGTCCCTGTAGGACGAGATCGCCGCAGTCGCGATTGCTGCGGCAGCGCCAGCGGCTACAGCGCCAGCGACAGAAGACTTCTTGTCGGACTTGGATGCTTGACGTTCACGGTCTTGCAGCTCCTGCTCCTTTCGCTGGGCACTAGTGGCAGGTAAAGCAATGGAGCCTCCCAAGGGTTGTTGTACAAGCTTCTGCGCTCGGTTGCTCGGATAGCGATCGATATAGTCCCCTTCGCGTTCTCGGAGACGTCGCTCTATTTCTTCTTGCTCAGCTTCGCGTCGAGCAGCTTCAGCTCGAGCAGCTTCTTCTTGCTCGGCTTCAAGTCGCTCTCTTCGTCTTCGCTCAGCTTCGGCTGCCTCGCTTGCAAGCTGGCGCTGGTGCTCCAGTTGGGCTATCCGTTGCTGACGCTCCCGATCTTCTGCTTCTCGAGCCTGGCGTGCCTGAGCCTCTTGTTGTTCACGACGACGTTCGTTCTCAAGCCTAGCCAAGCGTTCGATATCCATGAACTTGCGGGCCTCGTCCTGCTGCCGTTGCAACTCTTGGCGACGCCGTTCGTCTTCCTCACGGCGGCGCTCTTCTTCTTGACGTGCTGTTTCCTCCAAGCGAAGCAGTGTCTGCCGACGGTCTTCCTCGACTCTACGAGCCTCATCCTCTCGCAGTTGCTGTTCTCTTCGAACGCGATCTTCTTCTTCCCGTCGCGCGATTGCTTCTCGTCGCGCCTCCTCATCGCGTAGCTGTTGCTCTCGACGAATACGGTCTTCTTCTTCCCGTCGCGCCTCATCGTCTATTCTTTGTTGTTCTCGACGACGATTGGCTTCTTCGTCTAAGCGGTCTTGCTCCTTACGTCGCTCACGCTGCTCTTTGTCTACTTGCTCTTGCGTTAGATTGAAGCGGACATTGCTATTCGCGGATGGTGGGCGACTAGGAGGGCGATCAGGGTGTTTCAGTGCGGACACTACGGCAGCCCCAGCAGTCGCTGCAAGTCCTGCCATAGCCGCATCCCGCTTCCACGATGAGCTCTGAATAGGCGAAGAGTTCGCTCGACGGAATTGAGGATGCTGAGGGCTTTGAACAATGATGTTTTGAACTTGGGATTGCATGGGGTACGGAGGTGGGTATGGTGCTTGTGAGAAGACTGGTGGGCCTGCAGGGGCAGTGTAGCCAGATTGTGGTGGCGCTTGTGTTGAATAAATCGATCCAGGGACTTGTTGCACTGGCTGAGGGTGCTGGATGGGGACAGGACCAGGGCCTGGGGTGACCGGAGGTTGATTGGTGACGATAGAGCTTGTGCGGCGTGCATCGAACGACGCATTGGGGTCAAGAGGTGCAACAGGGTAAACCGATTGCAGTGTTTGCGCGCTACTAGACTCACTGTCGTGGTGTCCATGAGTAGCTGCAACAGCTGCGCCCGTCAAAGCACCTGCGGCACCAGCTGCGGTAGGTCCAATAAGAGATGTACTGGCGATGTTGTCGTAGAGATTATTGGACGACCTCCTCTTCTTCTTGCCAAAACCCCAACGCCAGCCCCATTTGTTGGTCCCTGAATCGTTGGATCCGATGGAGTCGTTGCTCTTGGTCTTCTTCAGGGCGTAATCACCGTAAACGAGACCGCCGTCACTCGAGGAGTCTGAAGTACCATCATCCGGCAAATCCTCCCACTCGTCGTCTCCGTAACGGGAGCCAGGTCGTGAGGTTTGGCTTGTCTTGCGACCGAGTCGGTTTTCCTTTACAGCAACAACCTCATTGTGGCGTTTACCTTTGCCAGCCTTCGCTGCGGTAATAGCAGCGGCAGTGGCGCCAAGACCGATAAGAGAGGCTTTCAATCGCTCATCCGAGTTCCGTCTCTTAGGTGATGACCGTCCTGATGTTCGTCCTGATGATCGTCGGCGCGTCCTCTTCACATAGCCGGTGCCGAATGCCATCTCAGAGTCGGATGAGGACGACGAGTTGTTGCTGAAATTGAAAAAGCCCTTCTTTTTCTTCTTGAGACTCGTGGTGTTGACTCGCTTCTCTTTTGGAGGGGGTGCAGCGAAGAAACCATTGAAGAAACCACCCTGGGATTCGTGAGTGTCGCCAATCTCGATGACGGAGGCGCCAGATGTTGAGCTTCGAGAAGCTTTCCGTCGAAGTTGATGGGATCTCCTCCTACGGCGCTCATCGTCGCTACTATCTCTCCGGGGGTGTATAACCTGTACCCTCTTAGGCGACCTGGATCGGCTAGAGTGCTTCTTCCTTGTAGCCGCTCCAAGGGCGGCACCTGCGAGACCGGCGCCGATAGCAGTGCCGATCAAGCCAGTCTTGCCACGTCCAGAGTTATTGCTTGAACTGGAGCTCGATCGGGAATGACGGCGAATCTTATAATCCTTACGGTCCTTCTTGTCATTCGTGACGCCCACTGACATGACGGACATGCGATCAGCAGAATTGCTCCGATGACGGATGCCAGAGCTGCCATAGCTGTAACTCTTGCGGTCCCTCGATCGGCTGCGACTGCGGCGTGAGATTCTTGAGCGTCCAGACTTGATGCTATAGGTATCATCAAAGTCGTCGCGGCCGGCAGTTAAAACAGCCTTTCCAGCCTTGGCCAAGCCAATTCCGCCTAGGCCTGCAGCTACCCAGCCTGCGGCACTGCTCTTGGTCTTTCGGCGCTCCTCGCCCGAAGAGATAGAGCCGTAAGACTTCTTCTCCTTGAGCGAGTAACGGGATTGTTTCTCGATGCCACCAGATGGCCGCATGAACTCACTGGATCGTTTTCTGTAATAGTGGTGCTTGCGTGGAGCGTCCAAGACGGATGAGCGAGGATCAAAGCAACCCTTGCAGACTCCGATGTACTCGGTGTATTCCTCCATCTTCTGCACGTCTTCGTAATCCTTCCACCAGTCGACAAACTTGGAAACGGGCCCAGTGTGCTGATGCTGCTGAGCCATGCCGCCAGAGCTGTACGAACTATGTGGAGCACCATTGTGCTGATGCCCATTGGGTCCGTGTGTCGACGTGTAGTGGTGAGAGGTGCTGTGCGAGTGTGTGTTGGTATGGGTGTGGTTGTGGTTGTGAGAATGTGAATTATGTTGATTCAAGCCATAAGCCGCCAATCCTGCAGCGCCAGCAGCGTACAATCCGGCGATACTGCCAGACGAGTGCTTCTCTGGTTTGGCCGGCCGAGGTGGCTTTGGGGGAGGCGCGCCTTCCGCACCGTAGGCGGCGGCTGCAGCGTAGGGTGGGAGGTAGCTGCTGTCGTTGGCAGCGGTATTAGAAGTATTAGGAGCCGAGCCGTACATGTTGTACGTGGACGCGGGAGCCGGGGCAGGCGGGGTGGTATTATTAGTGTAAGAAGAGTAGGATGTAGAAGGACGAACATTCGCTGAGCTGTAGCTTGTAGAGTGTTCATGATTAGATGAGCTGTGGCCCATGGCGTATCCAAGGGCAGCTCCGCCAGCCATAGTAGCAGCTGGACCGAACGTGCTTGGCTTGTCGGGCCTCGACGAAGATGCAGGCCGTGGTGGCTTCGCAGGCATCGGGGCGTCGTCGACGAAAGCACCGGGCATAGATGAGCTCGATGGCCTTGGGGGTTTGGATGAAGGGACACTCGTGCTGGGCCCATAGAAGTCTGCGGCGGCACCTGATCCGGTGTCGGCAACCGGGTTGGGCTGCGCAGAGGCAGACATGAGATGGGGGGTATCCTGTCCTATTATGACCGAAGGCGGCTGAGGCCTCACACCTGGCTGCTGATGCACAGACTGGCCCTGGTCGTTGTAAAACTCGGCAGCCGCTCCAAAGGGATGGCCGCCAGGCAGCGCACTCGAGGTGTACTGCGCCGGGTTCTGTCCAGGGAACTGGCTCTGCACGTGATTGTCCAAGTCTTCGGGGTGCGGTGGTGGGTGGTGGCTTCCCACTGGCAGAGCGCCCGACATCATGGGCGCTCCTGCCTGTCCTGGGAACTGCGAGAAGCCGTCGCTGCCAATCTGGCCGCTGAAGCTGCGCTGTGCTTGCTTGGGGCTGTCGACAATGTCGCCCCTGTAGCCAGCGCCACTTTGCGACAAACTTCCTGATCGCACCGAACGCGTCGAACGGCGCTTCTCAAGCTTCTTGTCCTTGCCCTTCTTCCGGTCCTTGTCGTCGCGCAGTGTGGAGCTGGTCGACTCGGCATAGCTGCTGCGGCGATCGTCGCGACGCTTGTCGTCGTCGTAGGGATCGCTGTTAGGATTGTTTGTTGTGGCCCGTGAGCGCGGCATCTCGTCGAAGGCAGTCGTGAATGAGGCAATCGACGATGATGACGGCGCGGTGTCGCGTCTGGAGCTCGGAGGTTTGCGGGCTGTTGACGACGACACGACTGAGCGGGCGTCTGGGTCTCGGTCGCGCTTGGAACGCGTGGAGTCGCTAGTACGGCGGCGGCGACTTTCTTCTTCCTTATTGCTGTTGGAGGCAGCAGAGCTACCAGTCAATCTACTCCACATGATGCTGGGAGGATGCTGCGTGTTGCGCGGGGCGCGCGGGTGCGTTGTTATTACAAAGTAGTGCTGGCAATGGGTCGGGCGCAAATGAGATGAATCTCTTGGTGGGATATGCTGGGTATATCGCTGTAGACAGTCGCAAGTGATAGAGAATCGTTCAAATCGTCATGTCGTGATGATATAGTACAAGTTTCCGATGCAGAATGGCTAGGAAAGTATGCGCGCAATGCCCAAGGACAACCGAAGCAGCCTCTCACGGTACTAATCGCAAAGATTGGTGTGGTGCAACAGCAGCTGAAGTGCTCGGCCTGGGTCGTAAGCCCCAGCAGCCGAGTGAGTTGGCGGCAAGGGTTAGCTCGATCCACACGGGATGGAGGCGAGGCTGGGCCAATAGCTGCCCGATGGCAAACGCTTCTTCTGCGGATCTTTACCGGGGCTTCTTCCGGGGCTGTTCTCTGACGCTCAGAGTGAACATGTTGATCCTGATGGAAGCGAGTGCATCTTGAGAAAATAGACCCCGACTGTACTTCTAACCATCTTGTAGTCATATCCTCAGTATCGCACAGCCTACAAACTTGGCCTGGCAAGCGCGAGACACGCGGAAATTGCCGAAACAGTCAATGTAGTTATCTTGCATGTTCGATGTTGGTTAGGCCGCCGAAAACATTTAAACCCGATTGTGATAGTCCAAACACCACCCAGTCTCATCGACAAGGATTATTTTCAAAAGCAAGGCGCGCGTGTGACATGATGTGCATTTTTGCATTATTCAAGTGTTGTGCGACAAGTCCATGTCTGATCGCGACTGTGCTATGCAGCCTTCTTTAAAGAGCAACTAGTTACACTTCGACAAGTTCTCTTAACGTTCCTGCCCGTCCAATTCAGAATTGTTTCCATCGCCTGAGCTGTCTGAAATGAATTCAGACTCTGTAACCTCGACCAAATACTGAATCAGGAGTTCCCAAGTTTCCTCCTCCTCTGGAAGATGATGTCGACTGTACAAATCGTGTGCGAACATCTCCACTTTCAAGTTCTCCGCTCTTTCACGGCGGTCGGGATTGTTCATAATTTCGAATAAGTCCCGTGCTATAGGTGTAAGCTGTGTCGTACTCACCCCTACATGGAGTAGTATGCCTCGAAGAATCTCTGTGCCCCGCTTGTCGAACAATCGGTCCTTCAAAACAAGATCAAAGCGAGGCTCCGGATTCTCGCAAAGTCCCCATCGTTGCCGGCGTAACTAGGGCCGTCCGCCAGCCATTAACATCTGCCGTATTTGCAGGATCTGCGCGCGATATTCTGGTTGCAACTGGTCAATCTGCTGCTGCGACAGAGCCATGACCTGGGCATATAAGGCTTGTTGGTCCGTAGGAGGTGCTTGTGGTTGCTGTGGAGGCTGCGCATATGGCTGCGGAACAGGAGGTGTAGGCGCAACTTGCGGTGGGTATCCGGGGTAGTTTACAGGTGGTCGCGCAACTTGCGGTGGTGGTTGCTGTACTTGCTGAACAGGTGGAGCCTGCGCAACTGGGGCAGGCGCCGCCGATGTCTCCACAAGCGAGGTCAGGATTTGTGGGTCGACCAGCTGGAGGAGCAGCAGCGACTGGAAAATGGCGTAAGCCAGCTGAGGCGCTTGTCGCAGGAGCTCTGTCGCCTTTGCCGGATCCGTCATTACGAGGCCCTTCATCTGTGAGAGGATGTCGAGGAGCTGGTCTGGAGGGAGTGTAGAGAGCGTGCGCGAAATGGCATCGGGACAGGTGAGGTTGGGCGGTAGCTCGACGCCCGGTGGAAGAGGGCCCAAGGTGCTCGATGGCTGCGCCGGTGCTGGCGCTGCTGGCTGCTGGCCGTTCATGCCCATGGTTGGCTGCGCGTTCTGGTCGCGATTTGACGGCGCATTGTCGCCGGAGCCGCTCTCGTTGGACCAGTCGACCCTCAGCTTCCTTCCCATCAAATCGTAGTCGTTGAGGTTTCGCACCGCGGAGGCTGCGGCATCAGCGTCGGCGAACTCTGCGAAGCCAAAGCCTTTGGGGCGCCCGGTTTCCTTGTCGTACACCAAGCGAAAGTTGAGGACCTGACCGACGCGACCAAGGGTTTCGATGATGAGCTCTTCGGTTCCGCCTGGTGGGAAGTGTTAGCTTTGCGCGTGCGGATGAGAGATGAATAGTCGCGTACCATAAGGAATATTGCCGATGAACACGACCCTGCCCGCTTTATCGTTGGGCGCCATGATTTTTCTTGGTATAATTCCACAACAGGCACTGCGTGTTTGTTGGTGGACAGCAAGGGAATGTAGAAATGTTGTGCGAGGAGGAGAGTGGTTGGAGTGTGCCTTTGAGGCTTCCATGAGGGCATGAGCTTTGGACCATGGCTAGCGCGAAGGGCTTGGCGCGTCATCACCAAGCACGCGACTACGAAGGAACTCGTATTTTCTGAAGTCGTTTCCAAGTACTATAAGCTACCCTGAATTTGTATATAGTATCCTATGCTAGGGACCTAGTAAAAGGACAACAATGCACATTTCTACGGGTTATATCAATATTTAGTGTAGAACTTAATATAAACGTTTTTCATCGTAAACATTCACGACTGAAATACACCTAAGCATGAAAAAGATTGTTCTCACGAAAATTCCACCCTACAATTCAAGATATTGTATAAAAACAGTCCTACAGCTTCGCTGTCGTCGGCGCACAACATTGACCATCCTCACCAATCGTCGCAGTCACACTAGGTTGCTGGTGCTGCTCACTCAGCAAGCTACTCTTGTTAAACGCCTGCTCGCTTGGCGGTACATCCAACGCAGGGTTCTTGTCGAAAAAGTTGACCGGCTTCATGTGAATCTTGATAATCTCACACGGCATCACAGGAAAATCCTCGATCCTGCAGATGGTCAGTATGTATCTCACATGCATTTCGTAAAATTACGACTTACCTAGGAACGTGGTTGATTCCTGCTTGGATGTAGACCACAAAGTCGGTGTCCTTGACGTTCTCGTTCCTCTCCGCCCATGAACGTACACCTGCATACAACCTTAGTATATGTCTCACGTGTATCTCGTACAGTCACAACTTACCAGATCCGCCTCGAGATTGATTGGTGTACAGCCCACCCGCATACAGCTCACCATCTTTGTGCTTGACGACATAGATGTTGTGGTCTGAGAACTCGGCGCGCTTGTAGTTGAATGAGTCCTTGTCTGATAGGATCTTCTGGAATGGTGGCGCTTGTATCTTGTATGCGACTGGCTTTCCATTAATAGGATTTCGCACGTTGGGATTCTGAATCTTGAAGGTACGGTTGTTCTCGTACGCAATGTCATAACCGCCAGACTTCTCCACGACGGTCTCCTGGACGTAGTAGCCAGTACCATGGGGGTTGAAGTCTGAACACGGCATCGCAAACGCTTCGTCGTATACCAGACGATTGTCGTAGCCGTCGAGCATGGGATCAACACGCAACGAGAATATGTGCTGGTGGTGGACAGCCAACACACCTGGATGCACAACTGTACCAAAGGGCACTTCTACACCCTCGTCGATAGGTTGGGTGCTCAGAATGCCAGTGGCTCTGATCTCATAGTCGATTTCTCCGGCCTGGTTGAAAATGAAGGCCAGGATGTACTCGTAGTTGCTTACGGTGATGATACTCTGTAGTACCAACTCGCGATTTCGGGCAACGACGGCACGGCCTGTGCGATAATTGGTGTGCTTGAAACCGATTCCGGCGTCTTGCTCGTGAACACAGACAACATTGGGCATTTCAACAACATCACCCTTATTATCGGCCTAAATGTTGCGTGCACGAAGTCAGTGTATGTCTCACATGCAGTTCGTACGGGGAGATTCCTTACCAACACTGCGCTTAGATAGTAGATGGAGCCCAGACAGTCGCAGCCCAGCTTGAGGTTGTTCGCCATGATGCCGGCACCAACATCGCCCAAATCAAACGCACTCTTTTTATGAAAGGGGTGCCTCGGGTCCGCATACTGCAAGCGTGAAAATGCGAAGTCAATTTGTGTCTCATATACATTTCATACAGGCACAACTTACTGGAATGTTCATGTCGCTCAAGCTCAATCGGTAAAACAAACTACGGTTATCGTAACGGACGTCGTACAGCACCATGCCTTCGCGCTGGTTGAAGCCAACTCGAAAGTTCCATTTTTGCCATGAAATGACGCTCGATGTGCCTTGCTGTTCGACCTGGAAGCTCGCACCCTCGGGTTGAACGACATTAAGCGGCTTGAGATCGGTTCGCAGCGTCTGGGCCTCGGGTATATACTCGTTGGGCGGTTGTATCTTGTACTTCTCAACTGGTTTGATTGTGTTGTCTGCTCCAGTTGGTAGCAAATCAACCCGGATGACACGCATACTTTCTGTGCTCACAACAGGTGAGATTGGAAGGGGCATTGCGTAGTGGTTGGAGTCGGCCTCTGATGAGTTCATAGGATCCCTCAAGTAGAGGAAGCATTGGTACAGTCGGTCTTCGTCTCCGACACCATCAGAACCGTAGATCCAGGGATCGCTAATCACTACTGTGCCTTTGGGCAACTCGAGCTTGGCTATTTCGGCTTGCACCTTCTCATCTGCCAGAACGAGTTTTTCGATCTCGACAATCTCGTCGCCATCTCCATTGGCGTGGACGAACGGCCCTAGCAAGATATTGGAGTCGACACGCCCTGAGGTCAAGTCTACAACGGCCTCGTGAAACTTGCTCTACCAAACGATCAGCCATATGTCATCTCATCAGAACCTTCAATACATACAGTATTCCGAATGTAGTAGTTAACAAAGGCTTTCCTTGAGATAGATGGAACTGGCTTGCCGCTATGCTCAGCCTCCAAGTACTTTAGTACTTCAGCCTTTGGTGGTTCCTGCAGCGTAACGACTTTGAAGTGCAAATCTGTGTGTGCAGGCCATGAAGCTTTAATGATTGCCGCGGCATTCCGAAGTTCTGATGCCGATAAGGCCGATAGAGGATGCTGCACAGAAACTGACTTCTCGCTCCGCGGGCTGGGGTTGGTGGCGGCTTCTGTGGACATTTTTTGATAGGTATATGCAATGCACGACCAGAAAAAAAGATCTATCAGGAGCACGAGATAGACGGTAGAAAAGGAAGTTCACAAAAAGACTCCGATATGGATGACTTATAGCGTCCTGAGCCCTCAATGCCGTAATGTTACCGAACACAGCAGTTGATGTGATAAGAAGGTGGATCTGCCGTATCGCACATAGTCGCAAGGACTTTCCACATTAGTACTAGACGCCTGCTGAAGGTGAGGCGAGACACAACGGGATCACGTGTTGTACCCCGCTCTGATTATGGAAAGTTGCTCCAAGTAAGCAACGTGGCGAGCTTCCTACGGATCCCCAAGAGCTCTGCAATTCGCGGAGTTGTACATTTTCTTCTACAGCCAATTCCACAAAGTTGTTTTGTGCAGCAATGCTTAGGCACGCCGGAGCCATGTTCCTAGTGGGCTGGTCAAGTCCCCTTCTTGTGTCGCAAGATATTAACAGAAGCAAATCTTCGTATGAAAAAGTTGGCGTCCCGTCCCTTGAGTTTGAGGCATGCACGGCGGTCTCTGAGCTAGGTCGGCAGCTTGGAGGGAGGCGGTATGAATGCCAGCCCTCAATCGCGCAATCTTGCTGTTGCCTCGCAAGACATATCCCGACATTTCCATCACTAAATCGTCTTTGTTGTGGTGGTGCTGGTAGGACTGCGGAAGTCGTAAGCCACGGCGCGTCATCGATGCACGTCGAAAAACGCGTACGCGAGTCAACCCAACTGTCGCGAACAACGTGTATCCACACTAATCGCGAAGAAAGTATGCAACTTCAGCTTGCAGGACCTGCCAGAACAGACTTCATTTGGGAGAGCCTTCTGTCGACACTTCTTGGCTTGTCATTTCGGCAAATGTGTCGTTCGAGACATGGCTACGTCCACTGCATGACTCGGCATGAAACACCTCTTCGCACAAACATCAAATCTTCAGACGCTCATACAAGACTCATATTTTACCGTAGTACTACCGTAGTCCATGTGCGACCGTGAGCCCGGTCAACATCGAGGAACGGTGTTGTTTCCTTTTTTTCCTTCGCACCGCTCGAGTTCCGCCCTAGCTTTGCCATGTTCATCTAACATATTACCCCAGATATTAATCTATCCTAAGCGTCCAGTGTTGTACAGTTCTAGCAAGCGCGCCAATCTTCGCTCTCGACACACCAAACCCACATCCATTTCCACATCCGCCTCTGCCATTCGCCCGGTGTGCACTTTTCACGCATGCATGGCCAATGATTGTCAGTCCTGGATTGCAAATACCATACTCGCGATATTGCCTGGCATACCACCACGCACTCGCCTCGTCGATACCTGTCACAAGGTCGGCTCCAGAAGAAATTCTTATTAACAACCACCGGCAGTGGGTATCCACCCTCCATCTACAACCCGGTTCCTTTGCCGCCTTGCAGTACCCCAGCGTAGCTGTCCTGTGACGTTTATTCATTTCGAGTTCTATGCTTGACCCAATCACGGCTTCGTGTTTACTCTCTTTGGTCATGTCCTGCGTGGTGCAATATAGACGTGGAAGCCATCCGAAGCCTCAGATTTATGAAGAATGGTATTTAAGACTCAGCGACCATCCTCTCGTATTCTCTACCAAGATCACTAGCACTTTCGATTTCATTCGCTTTCGAACTCATCAGTCTCTCACTTAACACCTCGAACATGAAGTGCATCGCGATTGCTACCGCCGTTGCGGCCTTTGCCAACGTTGCGCAAGCCCACTGTAAGTTTCATCGACAAATTTGCACCAGCAGTCCACTGACAAACAAGACATCTTCCAAACTCTTACTGCCAATGGTGCCAAGGGTGCTCTTTTCCAGAACATTCGCCCTGTCCCTAACAACAGCCCTGTTACCGACCTTGCGGATAAGAACTTGAGGTGTAATGCAGGAGGGAACTCAGGTAGCGGCACTACAACCGTCTCGGTGGCTGCTGGCTCCACCGTTTCGTTCACCGCAGACCAGGCGGTCTACCACCAGGGACCTGTCACTTTCTACATGACAAAGGTCGACTCTGCAGCTGCCGCAGACGGATCCAGCGACTGGTTCAAGATCAAGGAGATCGGCCCCACCTTCTCTGGTGGCCAGGCTAGTTGGGACATGAGTGCTACGTACTCTACGACCATTCCTTCGCAGATCCCTGCCGGAGACTACCTGCTCCGCATCGAGCAGCTCGGTATTCACAACCCTGGTAGCCCGCCTCAATTCTACATCTCGTGCGCTCAGGTGAAGGTCACCGGCGGCGGCTCTGGAAAGCCCTCTCCTACCACCAAGATCCCCGGTAAGAAATCCTGCATACAAACTGCTTGTGAGACACTTTCTGACTTCGTACCTCGAACTTTTAGGCCACGTCAAGAGCACCGACTCTGGTTACACTGCGAACATCTACAACAACTTCAAATCCTACGTTGTTCCTGGACCCAAGGTCGCTACATACTAGGTACACTCTGATGGAGACACGCGACAGGTCGGGCGCTAGGATCGCCAGCATTCTGTCGCACTCGCTTTGAAGTCTACATCTGCTTCACCTTATTTCTATGTATATACCTGTTGCATAAATTGCGCATAAACTTCTTTTATTCCTCCAATTTGCTTGCTTCTTCACTTTTGGCTGCTTCACCATGCCACACTTCACCATGAATAGCACATTGTGACTGCAGAATCAAACGCCTTACGAATTAACCCCGGGCCTTGACTGCCACCACATTATCATCATACCCATTACTGCTATTGCTTATCCTGTGAATATTAACGAAGCATAATTGGATGTCAGTAAATGTCGAAATTCTCTGTGATTCTCCCTTGTCGCAAGCCCAACTCTCAAGAACAGTAAGTGGATACCATAGCATCCCCGAGTCCCGTTTGCGCAAAATAGCCTATGCTGACCTTTTGACGTGTTCGCCATTCAAACATAGCTTCGTTCCCATCATAATGCCGCTGCCTTGATGAACACATTCAAATATGGCAATAGTATGTGAACCTCTCGCTGTTCGTAGCATCCGTCACTTCTATCTTCACGCGTCGCTAGGCCCTTGAACGGATACTCAGTAATAAGGTGTACATATAAAAGGCTGCCCAAAAGCCATATGAATCGTCTTCCCAGCTTCGTAGTCACTGTCTTCCCACTTTTGTGCTTACTAGAGTTTTGATTCAAAGTCGTAGCATTTGGCAGCTTGGCTGGCTCACCCTAACGCCAGTTACCAAACCTCGCTGCCTCCTTTGAAGTTCCTCCACACTCACTACATATGGCTGCTGGCCCTCCCTTCGATCAACCTTGGCTTGCGAACGTCGGTAACAACCCCAACATCAACCGCGAACCTCCACCTCCTCCTATCAACGCCGGTCCGGTACCTCAAGCACAACATCCGATTGCAGCTGCAGGAGGAGCTCAAGTTGTCGTAGAACAACAACACGCCCCTGTTTACGGTCCTCCCCTACCCATCGGTATCGGCGCCCCAGCATTCGGTGGTGTCGGCATAGGTGCGTTTCCACCTGTTTTTCCACCCGTCGGCATCATGGACCCATTTATGATGGGCGGCATGATGGGCGGTTACATGGGGCCTGGCGGTGGACCACTCGCTCCCGTCCGCGCAGGCAACTTTCTTCCGGGTGCTCATCACGGTATAGGCTTTGGTATGAATGCCAACGGTGTTCCGTTCCCACCACCACCACCTGGCGCCATCGCCGGGGTTATCCCTCCTTTTGCTCCTGCTACACCGTTATGGGCGGGTGGAGGTCTCGCATTCGGAAACGTACCTGCGGTAGGAGGAGTTGGAGTCGGCGGAATGATGCCTGGTATGATGATGGGCGGTGGCATGATGCCAGGCATGATGGGCCCTGGCGTGGCAGGCTCACAACACTTCCGTCCAGCACCCATGTTCATTGACGGAAACCACGGCCACCCAGCTCAACCTGAACAGCAAGACGTTAGTCAGATTTCCGGTGGTATCCCGCCGGGCGTCATGCTGGTTGAGTCGGCCGAACACACCATCTTCTATCGCATCACAGGCAATATCTGCCCTTGGCTTTCTCCAGGCACACCACTTACTCTAGAGCCGCTTGCTGCAGCAAGCACTACGGGTCTCAATCGTCTCATTCAGATCTGCAATGATGGTACACCAGCTGATGAGTTGGAGAACTGCGCGGTTACTGAGTGTATCGAGTTAGCCAATGGATTATGGGAAAAGGGTCAGACGTTCAAGTACAACGATGCTGTCTCTAGGGTATTGACTTTGAAAGATGCTGGATGGGACAATACAAGGAATAGGGGGAACGGCAATTCTCTTCATCTTTGGGGTCACCGTATCTAAGTGCTGGATTGCATATCAAATACTGAATAGGTTTTTCTCCATCCTAGGGCTCACGATTTGTACCTTGATGACGGACGTTGGAGTTGGTCAAGTGAGCTAAATCGAGCTCTGGACTTCGTCCACAATGGGGTTGGAGAGGCTTACTTCCATGTGCTCGTTTCTAGTGAAGGACAAGCGTGAAAGGTGCGTTGGATATACTGTTAGATTCACAGGTACCAAGCTTCGGAGATCTAGACTACTTCTCGTGATGCGTGAGAACGTGCCAACTATTATGTTTGAGGTACCTCGGTCGTCTGTCTCTTTTTCCCACCACCCAACTTCCGCCATAACTTCCCAAGCCAGCGTTCCTTGACTACCTTGAGCACAACATACGCCAGGAATCGATATACGATAGCGCATATACCCAAAGCCATAAGGTTCATCTCCGGGTTCTTATTCAGTTTATACAAGTCAAGCACTTGCTCTCCAGTCTGAATGGGGCATTCTCCGTTGACCCTCTGCCAGTCTTCACACGTGAATGTGAGCCCACGAAGCGTATACGGCGCCATATTCCCGACCGCCCACTTCACAGGTGAAAGATGGTTCCAAGCTTGCAGGAAATCCGGAACGTCGAGTGACAACACACCACCCATAACCTGAGCAACACTGAGAAAGACCGACATACAGTTCACCGAGAAGCCGGTGTGTGTAAACAGCGTGTTGAAAGCTATTCCAAGACTCTCGCCACAGCTGGTGATGCAGAAGGCGTTGAAGGTTATGATGAAATACGTTTGCGCATTGCGTTCTAAGCCAACGGCGAAAACGGCGAGCACCGAGAAGACGAGGCAGCTTATAATCTCGAATGGAGTGGTGATGGAGATATATGTGAGGAAGAACGCTTCAACACCATAAATGCGATCGTCGTAATCTCGGTAGAAGACGTCTCTTTCGATAGGATACACGGCGATGTTGTTTAGCACTATTTGAAATTAGTTTGGCGAAGAGAGATAACAGCAGGTTATACATACTGCCGACAAAGTAGAGTGGTGCGATCTCTACAAGAAATCCGAGCCTGTTCTGAACAGAGAAGTAATCGGTCTTGAGTGGTGCAAAGTAGAGCGCAAGCACGATGCCCAATCCCACCACTTGCATGACGCGCGCAATTAGAATGTCTGGCTGACGAAACATGTTCTTCGTCGCACGTCGAATCAGAATCGAATATGCTGAAGCGAAGGATGATGGTTCTCGTGCCATACTTCCCAGCTCCGCTGGTGTCGTTATCGACCCAATCCGAGCAACAGGGTAAACACTAGCATTCCATGACTCGACCAACTTGCGTACCTTCTTTCGACTGGCCGCCTCACGTCTCTCATGCTGAAGGTCAACAGTAATTAAATCGAGAGCGAAGTCAGCTGGATTGACATGACGCGGGCATTCGTAGCCTAGGCCGGCGAAATGAGTTAACATGCTGTCAGCAGGACCAGCATAAATGGGATGTCCACCGCGAGCAAGAAGCAGAATGTTGCCAAAATGAGCAAAGAGATCGCTACGCGGCTGATGGATCGTGACGATCAGTGTGCGACCTTCCTGGGCCAGACCACGGAGTACATCCATAATGGATAGCGCCGTGAATGCATCCAAGCCTGACAGCGGCTCGTCAAGCAACAGAACACGCGGCTCTGTCAGGATTTGGACAGCAATCGTAACACGGCGCTTTTCGCCGCCACTGATACCCTTGATAATATCGTTGCCAATGAGGTTGTCTGCACAGTCTTTGAGACCCATCTTCAGCAAGATTTCTTCGGCTTTCTGGGTTTTCTGTTCTCTCGACATCCATTTTGGAAGACGTAGACCGGCTGCATAACGAAGGGTTTCCCGCACTGTCAACGATGCTAGTAATGCATCGTCGTCTTGCGTGACGAAGGAACAGATCGAGTGAACCACTTCTTGGGCTGGGATCAGGCCGTTGTAGCTCATCGAGCCATACTGCTTGTAACGCGTCGATGTATCGTCTTTGAGTCTCATTGCCATGCTATTCAGCAATGACGTTTTCCCAGAACCTGAAGGTCCCATGATGACATTCAATGACCCAGGGAAAAAGTCGGCAGTAAGCGGCTTGAGTATAGTCTTCGTCCAGCGCTTCCGTAATGAGCGTTTTTCAACATCCATACCATAGCCCTCCAGCCGAATGTCGATTGTTCTGACATTGTCCGCCACACGCTCGCTCATCTTCTCTTTACCAGCAGAGGCATCCATATTGGACGGTCTCGCGCGAGCCATCGCAATCTCGGCGTTCCAGAACTTGAGCAACACTCCTGCACCTATATAAAAGGCGATGGCGAACCCAAGAAGGGCAAGTATAGGCCTCCAAACCCAGTCGTCTGGAAAACCAAGAGAGTCCATGATAAAGTCACCGTCGTATTCTTTGCAGGCTGGATTTGACCGCCCACCCTCCAACGGGCAGTCATAAAACGAACCTGTGAACTCATTGGCGCACAAAGCTCCAAAAGCATAGAAGACATAGGCTATCCACTTTGTCCAGCGTACGTAGATGGGGATCGTGTTCGACTGAATAAAATAACCGCATGCCATCGATTGAAGGGTATATGCGAGATTAGCTACCAGACTCGCTCCAGCGAAGTGTCTTGAGCAAGCGACACAGGTCATAGCGAAGCACACCGCGATATACTGATGCAGCAGTATGATACCGAAGAACGTGAGGAACTGGCCTCCATCTGCACGAAAGCCACAGAAGAAGTAATAGATCAGCGAGAAGATGAGAGGTACCGGTATGTCCTCGATCAAGATTCGGGCCAATCGTCTGGAGATAAGAAATGCTGGTATGCTGACTACACCTTGTCGCGCCTCTTCGTCGAATAGTTGGATATCCGTTGTAAGCCGGTATGTCTCATAGAGTAAGATCAGGTACCCTTGGAGCGCGGCTGCGTTATACAGGGCTCCCTGTCGAGATCGGATGCCAGATAGTGAACCATCAAGTTGCAAAAAGATCCATCCTGTGATGACCGCCATACCGATTGCTTCAACAAGACTTCCGAACATGCCTGTACACGAAAGAATTAGCGTGTGTTCCAGTCGCAACTACCATGTTGAGTGTCTTACCCATAGGGTCACGAATGGTTACAGTCCATGTTCGTGCGGTAAGTACGCGGGTCTGCTGGATTAGTGATGTCTGGCTAGCACGTCGCTTCTGCCGCTCAGTTTTCGTCATTGTCGTGGCCGGAGTGGCTGATTCGTGCTTTTCTTGCAGGTTGTTGTTGCAATGCGATCTCCATGCCTCTATCACCCGACCGACACGATCTTGAGCCGCCTTCTCTGCTTCTACGCTCCGATTATCGACACTCACAACGTCGATGAGATATTCGGCTGGATTGGTGAACGGAGGCATCTCATGGCCGAGTTCAGCAAAGTATGGAAGGCAGTCTTTCGCGCTACCAGCATACGCAGGACTGCCCCGAGACAGAAGGACGACATTGTCGAACAAATTCCATATCTCAGAACGCGGCTGATGGATAGTAACAATGATGGTGCGTCCATTTCGGGCGAGATTTTGCAGGGTTTTTATCACTTGGAAAGCACTCGTTGAGTCTAGTCCAGTGGTCGGTTCATCTAGCCATAAGAGAGAAGGGTTTGACAAAAGCTACGAAGTCAGTGTATGGCTCCTATGCATATCGTACTCAACTTACTTGAACACCGATACTTGTCCTCCTTTTCTCTCCACCGCTGCAGCCTTTGTGCGCATGGTTTCCGATCCTAGTATCTGCAGCTTCTTTCAGGCTCAGCTCCAAAATGACTTCTTCAACAAGCTGCTTCCTCTCTTTCTCGTCAACAGAAGAAGGTAGTCGCAATTGCGCGGCATAAGTCAGTGTTTCTCTGACGGTCAACGTCGGAAGGAGGATGTCCTGTTGGATAACATATGCGCTTCTAATGCGCGATGCATCTTCGCTACCATTGAATAGCGTCCGGCCCGAGGTAGCAAGCCGATTTCCCACTGCCAAGCGTCCGCTCATAGAGTTCAGTAATGATGTTTTTCCGCTTCCACTTCCTCCTATAATGGCCGTGAGGCTTCCGGATGGCATATCCGCCGATATATCGTCAAGTATAGTCTTGACATGATTGCGATCTGGTGACGGTTTCTGCTTCGAGAAGGCGCGGGCAAAGGCATTTGGCGATTCATCGACTGAAACTGTAAGATGTTCCAATCGCACGGATACAGGATCAACTTCGCGCAAGGAGATACCGTGGTTGTCGTTGTGGGATGTGCTTGTGGAGTCCCCGCGGACCGGCGTGGCGAGCGTTGTGTCTTCTTCTTTGGGCTTAGGCGGAGCAGCAGCAGATTCGGATCTGCCCTGCATAGACCCCGACTCCAGCTTCTCTAGTGACTCCATGGCTACGGGTTCTGGTTAAATGTTCATGATCAGTCGTCGTTCGCGAAAGAGAAGCGCGCATGAAATCAATCCTTCGCTCACATGTCAACGCGCGGAGATTCTTTCACGCGACACGATCATGTTCAAACACGCCGCCTCGCTTGCCAACCGAACTGCATGCAGGGGCTTGGCCGGACTTTACAAGTCTCATATTGCTTTAGATGGAAGGTTGCAGCTGTGCTTTCCAGAACTTCCAGAACGTATCGTGACGGCTCAGCAAGCTAGTAGCCTACAATGCGAAGAAATGCTGCTGTTTGACAAGTCTAGCTACTGCTTACAGCCGATGAAATGTTCAACCTCCCTTGAGCTGTTCAGAACTGGAGACGGCAAGGACCCCAGCTCGCGAAGCCACACTCCATTTAACCTGCCAATCTTGGGTAGCGGAATCCTGCGCGATATGCATCTTTATGCAAATGGAATATGACCGCGCAAAATAAAGCATCGAGACCTCCAATGGACTCCCGGAACATCATGTCGAAGTGTTGCTAATATAGACGAACTCTTTCGTGGACAAGGGATTGTCGCATGGAGTGGTGATGTTGCCTTTCCTAAGTGCTTGTCGTTTGTGCACGTGTGAGGTCCTATCCGTGCCAATCCCGTATCGAGAAATTCTTCAGGACAGATAGGGTCTAGAACGCGGAATGCATTGGATACTACTTGGCCGTTGGTACGAGCATTGAATGTTGAATAAGAGGAGTGACCACTGAATAGCTCCTGATTCAGTGTATGAACGGTAGCTGTCCACGGTATAGGCCTAAGAGATAACGGACCACTATTCACTTGCCGATGGTACGTACCTAAATACGTACGCTGCGAAGATTTGTTGCGTGAGGCTGTCTGGACGATAAAGATTCGGGATGGCCTCCTGAGTGAGGGGCTGGCCAGGTCTTGCGGCCCGAATAGCAAACCAACTCCACATGGCTTCCGAAATCTCACATTCTAACTTCCGGCCACAAGTGGGCCAGCAACAAAGTTTGCGCAATCGTAGCGGCAGCGGGAGGATTTGTTCGATCTCCAGAAAGAATGGTATCCACCTGGGTAAGGGACCAAAGAAGCCTCGGTACTTCGTAGTTGACAGCTGCCCCTGCGTTTGCGTCGCGACACCCTTTTCCCGGTCGCCATCTTATCTTCGTGCTATCATTGGGCGGGGACAATCTTCCGGGTCTCAATTCCAAGAAACTCGGCCAACCACCTTTACGAGTTGATCATGACAGCCTGATTTACTGCTCGCCAAAGAAAGCCGACGTCGTTCCAACTTAGTCAATGCGAGGACGGATGCACTGGTCCCAAAACTTGGAGTGATGAGTAAATGCAGGCGGCATATGCTGGGGACAACGGGAGACAAACCACCTTGGTTCTCCAATATGCACTAGCATCAACACTACGGCTTTCACAGCCGAATTCCTTGGATCAGGAACGATCTCATGAGCTTCATGAATACGATCCTGCAACCTTGGAATGCTTCACTTTACAATCTATGACAGCATCGTCTATTTGCCGAAGTCGTGTATGACGAGTGCTGAGCAGGGCATCTTGTATCCTCAAGTTTCTCTGGGGTTGCGGAGGGTATTTCCAAGCCTGCCATTGTTATTCCACCACCTCCTTTCCACAAATATTGACAGCCTTCACTTGTAATGCCTTCGTACGACGCAACGGTTTTGCGGCTCATATGATCGCCATTAGGGCATATCATGACCCTTGGCCATTAAGCAGCTTTTGCACGGCATATACTTTACACTCCAAGATGATATCGCCCGTGGCTCTGTGATCGACGAGAACGACAGGCTCCATCCTAGTGACTACTCGATTACTATACCTGACACTCCTCCATCTTGGGCGGCCATTGACGCCGAAAGCCACATGCTGCTTGTGGAATGCTGACAACAACCTCGTTCTTTCGTGTCAGCTGCAGGTCCGTTGGAAGACGTCAGCCAACAAGGCTGCATATGACCCTTTCCGGGCATCTAGTTCGCATGGACAATTAATCACGTTTTCTACACCGACTAGACTGGGGATATTGATGGCTTGCGTCAACCGCCACGCGCGTCCTCGCCTCGTGGTCTGGGGCGAGCTAGCTACGCTTACATCGGTGTAAGACTATTCGCAAATAACGGTGTAGGGCTTGACATCTCCATGCCGCAAAACCGGTGATGCAACCTGCAATCTGCCGTTTTCACAGGCATTGTATGAAAGAAGGAGATTCTATGCAGGTCACATATGCAGGCACCGTGTACGAGTAGGCGTTCGTGGCTTTGTGTTCGATACCGAGTCGTGTAGGTACGTAGGTATTTTAAGTACGGACTTCTACCCATATTCGGATCCGGATCCGGGTGGAGGGTATATCCGGGATACCTCTCCAGGCCCGGCATATACCGTTGGGATGAACGTATTCTACTAAGCGAGCAAGTAGAAAGTAGATCGGAAAGGTGTTCTCGGAAATAATCAGAATCCCATCTACATGCAATGGACGGCCTAATGGCTCTAGACTCTGACCTCCATGGAATACTGATATCGCCCTGGTTTTGGTTGAGCTTATCGCTGGGGTCGTTTGGGATCATGTGGTTGTAGGAAAGGGTAAGGAAGACTGGGCTGGTGAGAAAGAAGGGTCTCAATTGCCCCTTCACAGTTCATCTTGCGTGGATAGAATACGTATACCCTCCATCTGTGACGTCTTAGCAATCCACGCGGATAAGGTGTCACGCCATGTGCGTAACGTCGCGCACGATTTCACGGCTTCGGCCCTATACTGAACCATGAAGAAAGCAATGTCGTTTCAAAGCCATGCAGAAGGACCCCTCCTCTTCCTGTTCGTCCATACAAACACTAGTGCCAGGTACCGACGGCGTGTTTTCCTCGAATCAGGCTATAATTCGACCTTTCCACCGGATCTTTCGGGTTATAACCCCCAGCATTGCCTGAAAAGCGTGGGGGTTACATTTCAGACCGACCACATAGAAGGGCCGATTCTACGCCGTGAATTCCTGCTTTGCAGCTGTTGTTCCCGCAACGCTGGTCGTAACATTCGTCATTGTGCTGCTGGGGAAAGTGTACCGGTCGCATCGGAGGCGCGTTTGGGCCGGACAAACGTAACCGTAAGCGCTGCTCAAGCCGCACAGAAGAGATGTGCGACAGCACCCCACGTTTGCCGTATTGTAAACCTGGTACCCTGGGCCGATCTGCCTAACGGCTTGTCTCGCTCGTCCGTGGGCTCCGCCGACGCAAGTGAGGATGGCTTTTCTGACTGTTAGTCCCATACTTTCGCATCGCATCTAGGAAATTGATGATGATCGTCATCCGGCTATATGCACATGAGCGTTCTGAGAAGTGGCTGCATGTTGAGTGTGCGAGTCATGGATCCTTCAACGACGCCGTGCGATGAGTTTGTTCCAACGACGATGCGAAGGAAGCTCGCCAAAGCATTTGATTGCTGGTAAGCGGATTGGAGGAAGAACGTCCCCGCAGGGAGTGGAGAAGTCTAGATGCTGTGGCACGGGTGGTGCTTACTGTAAAGTTACAGTGCACCAGCGCCGCACTATAGCTCCTCACCTTATCACCGAGGTAGATCGTGATCGCCCGTTAAGCCATGCGTTCCCTGCGAAGCTGCGTTGAGAATTGAGTGAGCCGAGTGGATACCAGCGTGCATTTCTGTGCCGTGAAGCTACCTGCATATATACGTGTCGTCATCGTAATGAGAAAATAAGAGAATGCCGGCCAGCAATCGGACCTATTTCGACAAGTGCTGCAATGCCATGTGTACGAGTGTGCCTCGCCCATGCATGGGGTACGTGCATCGCGATCTGACATGCACCGCCCAAAGCCAAACGCCGCTCGGCTGAACCCAAAGGCTATGTACGAGATACAATATCGCAAACAAGAAAGAAATGTCCCGAGAAGTCGAAGCCAAGTAAATGCAAAGACAAGCAATGCCGTTTTTCCCGCATGGTAACACAATCCCGCCGTGTGTTATAGGGGAACGCACCCATCCAATGCAACCTGATCGTAAGGGCCGTAGTGCATCGTTGCCGGTCCGAGCCTTGTAAACCGCTCTCCGACGACCCACCAAATACCATGACTCCTTTTTGCGCCCGTAGAAACACCGATTGAATAAGGAACCCTAAATGCCAAGTCTGAAACTGGAGGGTCGCGATGCACTTCAGGCTACAGGCTGACACTATGTCATCGCCATGATAGCCGTGCACAGAAAACCCATATGTCCCACATCAACCATGCCAGCGAGTGGCAAGCGATGTGATAACTTCTCCCCTGAAGTAATAACCCGATAGTGATACGTGAAGATCTCGCGGAACCTTCAGATTCCGAACGTCGCCAATAAAACAAAACCTCGCGGATTGCTCGGGGCTCACGTAGCGAGGAAATCCCACCCACGAGCATGGATAATTTTCTCCCAATCCCATGAGTCTGTATCCCCCTTGTCCATCCTGGACCAAACCTCGTCGACGACCTCTTTCGCAAAGCCGATGTTGCCTAGGCCGGTACAGGCAATTAGGCCGGTGAACGCTCTGTCAATCTCCACACGCTGCTCCTCTTCGAATGCAGCGCACCCAATGAGGAACAATGGAAGCAAAACGTTACTTTGCACCCAACCTTCCGCTGGTAGTTCGTTGATGTAGCGAATGCCGTCGTCGACAGCACTCTTGATGAATGGATGTGGCTTCGAGTCTTTTGTAGTGCGATAGAGATAGACCCACGTTGCTTGTCGATAAAGCATAGAAATGGTATAGCGCGGAGATCCGGGTGTATGGGGACATACCCATCCACGAAGGCCAGTGTCGATGGCGTGGGCGGCAAGCAACGCTTCATAGTCCATGACGGGCTCCTGCTTTTCGTCGATGCGACTACGTATCTTGCGTCGCAGATTGCTGATCTTAGAGATGAAACCAAAGAGTCCATCAGATATGCCAATCAATCCCGCAGTCTCCGGGCTGATCTTGAAGGGGAGGTTGAAATCATCCATCATGGGGACCTCGGTACCGTCAAGGGACGTGATCTGACTAGCGATCCAATGGTAGTAGAAGAACTCGTCGAAAAGGGTCTGGAACTCCGGGTTCGAAGACTTCTGGGTCATGGCGATCTGTTTTGCGGCGATCATGTGCATTCGGTACTCGCCGGAGGTGTTACCATCACAAATAGAATGTAGAAGATGTAGTAGTATCTGGGCAACGTTAGAGTCTTCGTAAACCATGACACCACCTTCGCCAGCTTTCTGTCGTTCGATGTCATGCTTCAGCAGCTGCAGAGCCTTGCCGCGGTGAAAGACCTGTCTGTCCTCGTACTCCTGTAACGGGTTGACGGAGTACATATGAGAAGCTGAAAGACACAGCACTGAGTGCATTAGGCCTTCGTGTTGAAGAGCCATGGGCAGCAGGATTTTGGTGAAGGGATTCGACGACTTGTCCCCATGTAAGGTCAAGACAGCACTCGCTCTGCTAGAGAAATGTTGCAAGAGTTGGCGGTCAAGATCATTCTCAACACCTTCCATGAGAGGCGGAAGGTCAAATTTGACATCTTGACTTCGCTTCCGAGCTGTTTGGATGTTAGCTCGGCCCACTTCAAAAAAGCAAGCTCCTGATGCAAGACTACATACCTTCTGCTGCCCGTTCCTTTCCACTCTTCCAAATTTCAACAGGCTTGTACCCTTCGCAATGGATGTTGTTCTTTTGACACGACAGACCTAGGCAAGATTAGTACTTGTTGGACAACTGCGAGTCAAGGGTACAATTACAGAACGGCTTGGTCTCGTCACACTTCTTCTTCCTTTTCCGACATGTTGTGCACCCAGTTTTGGATCGGGCTTTGGCTTGCTTAGCAAGAGTGGTGGGTGAGCGAGGAGGGTGTATCCTTGGCCGACCACGCGCGCGACGTATCCGTACGGGTTCGGTCGGGGAAATGGGTGTGTCTTCCGGAGATGCCTCTTCCTTGACATCGGCTAGTTGAAGTTCCGTCTCCTCCACCTTGGGCACTACTTCAAGGGAACCCGTTCGAGCATCTGTCCGCTCCTCTGATTGTGACTCGGAAGGGCTGAAAATGGTGGAATCGAAATTGGGCGTGGTAAATGGGGAGTCGCTAGCGGACGACATGGAGGGCTGCGGCGATGAGCTCGTGCTCAAGCGGTTATGGGCGCCTGGCGGCGAAGGGCCGACGGAAACGGTCGAGATCATTCGAGCCAGAGTTGAGGACGTTGGTGGACTAGTAGTGGGAAGAGGCGCGCATTGGATGTCCAGTCCGTTTTGCGCGTCGATGGTAACACGAAAGAGCGATGTTCTTCTAGATGTGCATGAGCCCGGCACGATCTAATGCAATAAGTGGCGACCAGGGGTTATCTTGTATTGTTGCCGGCCAATGCTAAGCAAAACGGTACAAGTGGTACAACAACGCGGCAGCTGTTCCCACGAAAGTTGAGCAGAGTGTCGCAGAAGGGTCCAAGCGGTCCGCTCCTGATGCCTCGAGCGATCGCACGGTAGGTTGCGTGAGAGCGGGGGAATGCGTCTTTAGCGAGTCGTGGGCGTCCGCGGAACGTCCAATAGAATTTGGGTGGAACTAACGGCAAAACTGCGTCGTTCCGAGATGAACGGCTGAGCTGAACACAGACCCGGTGCAGGCAGGGGTGAACGAAAACCAGTTGGGTTGGCTGGTAACGGTGGTAAGCGGTCGATATCGATGTCGGGCACACCCAAGGGGGATGTGAGCAGCGTGAGCGTGCGGAGAAGGGACGATAGGTATGGGAGGAGGCGTGCTTGAACGAGTGGGATATATGTCGACTAGGTATTAAAGTGCAGCCTGCGTAGCTTTGAACCAGGTTGCGGAGCAAGGTAAAGGCGACAGGATATAGTGTGTTAAAGTAGCGTCGCAGCAACGACACCAATTCGCCTCTAATACTGGTAATGGAGGATAATCCTAGGACGAGTCCACTGGTCCCGCTGTAACCATCGCCCTGGGCCGCAGTCGACTTAATACAGTGAGTAGGCCGACGCTCGCAGTGAAGCACCGGGCACGCAAAGGACAGTGTTGACGACAACCCAAGACGTAGCGAGCGCTGCAGTTGGCTTTGAGATCAGTCGCCGGCGTGAGCGCTAAGTCTTTTGGAGGCTGTAAACCTCGTGAAGCATTGAAACGTGATGTTCCTAGTGTATGTATCGAATGGTGCATGAATCGCTTTCGAGCGGCTTCATATCTTGGTTCGCAGGCCTAGCCACTCCTCAGATCCCGTTGGCTGCACCACCTCCAGCTCAGAGTGGGTGGTCCAGGATCAGCAATAGATCTGAGTTGGGCGTCGTAAAAAGTCTCTACGGTGTATCGCATTCCTCTGGTTGATCATTCGCTGACGGCCAAAATCAATTCGCCATGTCCATGATCTTCTCCATGTGCTGCTTATTATTATCACACAAACGCCATCAATTCACGGCCGCGCGCCCAAACAGTTAGTCAATACGCGATACTTGAGGCGCCCCTAGCCGACAATCAGCCCCACGCTAGGATGCCCAGCCATCGTGCTACATCTCCGCGATGCCTTGTGTGTGTGACCTGACGACACTATCTCTCCACAGTTTACGATCCGGTCGAATCGGACCTTGTTTTCTAGTTATAGAGAGTTATTGAGCGCGACAGGCAAGGCGATCTTGACAAGCTGACAACCCGACCAGGCCCCATTGAGTATTGCCAGCATCAAGCCACACCTGGCATGTCAGGGATTGTGAGGCCTGAAGATCCTCACAATCATGACAGCAGCGTCTGGTAGGCCCAGCGATTAACGGCCGGTCAAAGTTTGTTTGAGATGTCATAAGCTCCCATGCACCCTCCCCACAATCGCTACGCCTATCAGCAGGTAGCAGTCCAAGCATTGCGATATACTCCCATTGGTGTGGGCGTTTCTGGCGAAAAGCAAACATGTTCGTCTAAAGCAAGGGCTTTCGCTTTGTAGATTTGGTGCCTTTTGACATTGTAGTGTCGCGCAGTGGACTTTCCCTGCGTGCTGAGGATCTGGTTACTTTGCGGCCGGAGCGGGACGACGGGCACAAAGGCACGCTCCCAAAGCTGGCTCCGAGCGGGTTTCCGCAGTACCCTGACCTTCGGTCCCAACCGAACGCTTTGACAGACTCGAGTGCAAAACCCAACAACAACCTGCCTCTCCTTGCTTTAGACTGCTGTTGAGCATGCTCCATTTACATGATCCTTCAAGGCTTGAGGGAATCTGGACAAGAGTTGGGCAGCACGCTGCTACAGCGCGCGTTCACGATTCACGCAAGTATTGTGGTTCACAACCGGCACATGCCTGTGAATCAAGCTGTCAAGGCCATTTATTCAGCATGATTCGGTGGTAAGTATCATGTCTCGGACCCGCCGTCTTGTCGCGATGTGGATCCTAGTTTCTACTTTCGATCATACGGTCTCCGATTTGGAATCAGTCCTTTCCGAAGTTAATGCCCATGCTGACCAGTGTGATGACGTACCCACAATCATTGTGTAGTATTGTGACCGTCTCGAGGGAGACCAGATGAAGATGGGTCAGATCGTTGTCCCTGCGTTGTGATAGCGGCGCTCTGATGGCTGACGGTCATTAGCCCGTTCTTGCGTATTGAAAACCCGGACGCATGCAGCCGAAGAGGACAGGCGAATGACTTGCATTGTTAGCGGCGTGCTTTAGCTGCGGGGTCACTTCCCGTCTCATTCGTCAGCGACGCAGACAACAGTTGCAGATGGCTGCATGTGCAGCAAGTGTTAATCCATGCTCAAAATACTTCTGGTCTGGAGCTGAGCGATTCGCGAGACTAGCATCTACGAGTCTATCGACGGCGTGCGAGAGAGCGAACGATGGTGCTATTTGACACCCGTCATGACGTCGTCTCTGGCACTCGCGTGAGTATAATATCAGGAGATGATCAGACGTGTATTTGCCTTGGGAGTCACCCGTATCCACTGCAAATGACCTGGGATGAAGTTTGTTGAATGCACAGTGCGACTCCTGCATGTTTGTGGCGGGTTGGACATTGCGCATGCCGGCCTCGTTCCGAAGTTCCGCCTGGGATGCTAGCACGACTTCATTCGCAGCCTTGTACCAAGACTCCATGGTTGGTATTCTCGCATGTGTGATGGATCTGTGGAGGAGTGCCTCACAGCGTCTTTGTAGATCTTTTGTCTCCCCAAACATTTGCCTTTTCCCTTGCCATGGCAAAAGCATGACTCTGTAGGTTTCCCAGCGGATGCATGTGCGGGCGGGTGATCGACTAATTTCGAATGTACGGAACTGTTTGTAGCCGCCGCCTGCGAACACGTATGCGGCGGGGCCTGCTTGACTCTTCCAAGATTGATATGCAGTACAAGTTGCATGCCATGGGCACAGGCTAGCGAACCACACCAAAACAAAACCAGTAGGCGGAAACGACGTGGGTATAGAGATGCTTCTAGTGGGATATAGTGCTGCGAGAGGCTTGGTGGAATGTTTCGGACTTGGAAGCTGAGTCCCGTAGCCGCAGGTATCATGCCCAGGCATCGTTCCTTGGACAGCAGCAGCCTATATCGGAGAGAGTACTGCAATCGGTCTCAGGGTAGTATATGTCTTCTGCTGGACCCTGGAATCATGAGGCTCACAATCCCAAGTGAGAATAGGGTCACGTGAATTGGCAAGAGGCGCGCGGATCATATGTTTCGCCAGCTCCGACGCGGGCGCGCTTTGACGCGTTCGGACTCATTGCATCCAGCATCTATCAAGGAAACATCACGACTTTACTATTCCATCCAGCGCGCGTCCACTATGCACTTAAGAGCCTGAGACTCGCCTGAATTATATTGAATAGCGACTGCTCCCATGTTCAACTTCACTCCTCTTCTAGGCGCGCAGAGCTCCTCGCCAGCGTCGCAGTCATTGCTAGAATTCGATGGAGGCATACAAATCTTGATCGATGTTGGTTGGGACGAGGATTTCAGCGTAGAGAAACTGAAGGAGATTGAGAGGTAGGTGCATAATCTGGCCGCGATTGCAATGTGGATGCCAGTTGAAGTGTGGGCTATCCCCGGGAAACACTGGCAGCAGGTAGCAAAGTCGCTAGGTAGCAGCAATACACTATACATACACGACGACTAATCTCGACACTCCAGACATGTCCCCACCCTGTCCTTCATCCTGCTTACTCACGCGACCACTGCGCATCTCGGCGCCTACGTACACTGTTGCAAGAACTTTCCTCTGTTCACGCGTATACCCGTCTACGCGACAAACCCCGTCATATCTCTCGGCCGCACGCTGCTACAAGACCTGTACGAATCCACGCCGCTTGCATCGTCCATCATCCCCACCGAAGCTCTCAGCGAGTCTGCCTACTCCTTCTCCTCGGCACTCAAGGGCGGCAAGAACCCCAACATCCTTCTGCAAGCGCCCACGTCCCAAGAGATTGCCGACTACTTCGCCCGCATCAACCCCCTCCGATACTCGCAACCGCATCAGCCCATCCCTTCACCGCACTCGCCCCCACTCAATGGCCTCACCATCACTGCATACAGCGCTGGACACACACTGGGAGGTTCAATATGGCACATACAACATGGCATGGAGTCGGTCGTCTATGCCGTCGACTGGAACCAGGCCAGGGAACACGTCCTTTCAGGAGCTGCTTGGCTGGGAGGACCCGGCACCGGCGGCGCTGAAGTCTTGGAACAGCTGCGTCGTCCGACTGCCTTGATCTGCAGCAGCAAGAACACCAGCATGGTAAAGGTGGCCAGGTCGCCCAACAAGCGAGATGAAGCTCTTCTCGAGATGATTCAAGATACTGTGGCCAAGGGTGGAACCGTCTTGATTCCATCAGATTCAAGCGCGCGTATACTTGAACTGGCATATCTGCTTGAGGAGACCTGGGAGCGTGAGGCAGCAGACGCCGAGGGCGGCGGTGCGCTACGAAGTGCAAAGGTCTATCTTGCAAGTCGGACTGGTGGTGCAACGATGCGCTATGTACGGAGTATGTTGGAATGGATGGAGGAGGGCATTGTGAAGGAGTTTGAAGCCAGTGCTGCCGACCAAGACCGAAGGAACAAAAACGGAAAAGAAGAAGACCGAGCCAGAGTCCCGTTCGACTTCAAGCACATAACG